CTCAGAACCAACTGGAGTTTGTGATAAGACAGCTCCTGACTCTGGTTCTGGGGAGGCCCCAGGACCCTGCATTTCCAGCTAGTTCTCAGGTACTACTGCTGGTCTAGGAGCCACACCTTTAGCCTATTGCAGGGACCAGATGGTGGAGGGCTGGGGTCTGGATAGGGGAGTTCCTTTGAGAGAAGGAAGAGGCAAGGTGGAGGGGAGCAGGACTCTCCCTAGGACTGGTGGGGCAGAGTTGTCCAGAGTTGGAGCCTCCTAAAGAGATGGGGACCTAATCACCAGAGAGCCCTTCCTTCCCTCCCACAGCCAAAAACAGCAGAGCCACCACCTGTGAATCCACATGCTTGGGTAAGGGCCATGTTCCCCGTGAGTGGACAACAGGGACAGAACATCAGAGCACCAGGCGATTCCGGATAGGGAAAGCCATCCCTATTCCTCAGACAAGCCTTGGTGTGGGGTGGGTGGGGTTGGGGTGGCACATGGGACTGTCCCTGCAGAGAGAGGTGATGTTCTTGTGAGGACTCGGCTACTTGTTGACTTTGAAAAATAACATCTTTACAGCAAATGCTGCTGGGAAACTGGATATCCGCATGCAAAAGAAGGAAGCTGGACTCTGACCTTACACCATATACAAAATTTAGCTCTACATGGATCAAAGACCTAAATGAAGAGCTTAATGGTAAAACTCTTAGATGCAAAATCACACAAGGCTCCATGCACCTGCAAATTGTGGTGCAATAAAATTCTTAACCATTACGCTGAGATGGACAGAAACCCAAACAGCCGAACCTGATTGGTGTGCCTCAGGTAGCCCTGGTCAGGAGGTAGACTTATGGGTGGACGGCTGAAAACCAGGGCATTCCTTTCATGATTATGGCACTATGACTGATTCCCCACACCAGCTTTTGCCACCTTTACCAAAGTAAAATCAACAGTGAACAAGGTGTAGTGTAGAACTTGAATTTTTACATATGTATATACCAGTCCCACCACCCCCTAGAACATCTCCAGCAGCTCACAGGCTCTTCTGTGGCCCTGCCCAGTCAATACCGAAAGAGGTACTATTTATACCTAACCTGTCACTGAGCTTTAGTTCTGTTTTTAACTTCTTATAAAGGGAATTATAGTTATTGCCCTTTTGTGCTTGGCTTCTTTTACCTGGTATAAAGTTTTTAAGATTCATTCCTGTCATTGCATGAGGTAATGGTTTGTTCTTTTTTTGTTGTAGTATAATATTCCATCATATGATAAATCACAATTTGTTTCCACTCACCTACTGGACATTTGGGTTGTTTCCACTTTTAGGCTGTTATGAATAAACCTGCTACACCCTTTTTCTAAGTGTCTTGTGGTGGACATAAGCACCTTGCTTCCCTCTTGGGTACACACTGAGGAACAGAATTAGGAACTCATAGGGTGTGCCTTATTGGGCTTCAGTAGGTGTCACCTGATTGTTTTCCAAGGCATTTGCATCAGTTCACTCTCCCATCAACAACAATGCATGACAGATCTGGTTAATTCTCAATCTTGCCACATTTGGTATTATTAGTCCTTTTAATTTTAGTATTTTTGATGGGAATGCATCATTTAAAAGTATTTAAAACTGAAATATTTGAAATTAGTAATAATTTTTATTTACCTAAAATGGGTGGGCCACAGATGTGAATGTTGGAGGGACTTACTGGCCTCTCCTAAGTACTCGGAAATCCCAAGCCTGCGTGGGTGTGTTTCTGCCTATGCAGTCACTGACGAGTGCTGCTCCAGACCCCACCCCCCTTGCCTTGGAACAGACCCTTCATTTCCCCATGAACAGGAAAAACCTAGTTGGGATCCCAGAGGGAGATGTTTCCCTTCGCCAGCTACATCTGGGGAACATCTGGTGAGCTCATCCCAGGACAGGCAGACACTTTTCTGGAGAAAATACATTACTTACTTGATCTTATTCTCCTGTATTTTCCCTTGTTCCTTCTTCTCTTCCCCAAACGCCTCATCCACTGGGCTCCCTGCTCTAAACCCCAACTCCAGCCCTTACCAGCTCCCTGCCCTGGTCTTCTCTGTCCTGTCTGCTTTCCCCAGTACACATCCCAGCAGGATGCAAGCCTAGACAGCCGGACACCCACTAGTGCTAGTGCCCAACCCTGCCCAGTTTCCTGATTAGCAGGTAGCATCTTCTAGAAACTAAGTGAAGGAATGTTGAACCTAGTGGGATTCTCTGGTCCAGTGGCCCCATTTTACTAATTGGAAGACTGAAGTCAAGAAAAAGAGAGACAGGGAGGGAGGGAGGGAGGGAGGAGAGAACAAACTAGAGCTCCACTCTAGATCATAGAAACCCCCTGCTCCTGCAGACTTGGCCAGAGGATTAGAGACAGGAAGGAGGAGGCAGTAGAAGAAAGGATTTCCTGGGACTATCAAGGTCTGCAGCCAGCAGCCACAAGAACAGGCTGGGTGTAGGAGGGAGTGGTGGTAGGTGGGTGGCCACCTGCCATCAGAGCCCTAAGGGCTGAGTCACATCTAGCAACTGATGCCCACCTCTGCAGCTCCTAAGCTTCAGGCTGAGCTGTTTTAGGCCCACCACTGACTTAAGAGTACCCACCATGCACTGATGGCCCATCTGTCTGCAATGCCAGCCCTGTTCTCTGGAGTCCTGGCTTCCTGTGCCCATTTACTAGGCATCTTTCGTTTATCTGACAAGTTCTTACCAAGCACTGAGGATAGTAGACACAGCCTCTGCCCTCCCACTACACACAGGCAATGCACAGCAAATGCACAAGTAAACCACACTACGCAGTGGGTGCTAGGCAGCCAAGGGCTGGAGATAAGCATCTGTCCAGCATGGGCAGGACACCCCAGGAGAACTGAGGCTGGCAAACAGTGAGGGTGTGGCGGGAAGGCAGAGGTAAGGCTGAAGGAACTTCATGAGATACAGAACAAAAACCTCGTGTAAATTAAACTACATGTGGCTGTACCACTGTGACACGCATGATATACAAATAAAAAGATGCACACACACAATACAGACATGAAAGGAAGGAGCAGGGAGGGGAATGTGGGACGGTAGTATGAAGACAGACGCGGCTGCCAAGGTGGGCAAAGGTCAGATTATCCCAGCTTTGCAGGCTCCTCGGAGTTGGGACTTCATCCCCTGGGCAATGGGAAGCCACTGGAAGCTTGGTTCCAGCTGTCCAGACACCTCCCCCTGCAGGCCCTCCAGGTACACACACTCAGCCTGTACAGGAAGGACAGGGGCTGTGGCTTCCCCAACCTGCTTTCTTCTTTTTGAAACTACTGGAAAGGTTAAGGGTAGGTAGACCCCTCCTGGCCCTGTACACACACACCTGTGGCTGAAGAGGGGCCCTCACTATCACTTCTACCCTAGAGCTATCCAGTCAGGACAGGTCACCTGCACCACCCCACCTGGAGGAAGGTAGAAAGGAATCCTGAGGGCAGGGCTAGTCAGTGACAGCATTCACTTAGGACAGTCAGAGAAGAACCCAGAATGCAGCGGGGGCAGCCTGGGAGGAGGAGGGTCAAGCTCCCGAAGGCTCCCTGGAGGAGGTACTGCAAGCTGAGACCTCAGAGCTTGGGCAGCGAGAGGGCCGAGAGGCCTTGCAGGCTAGAGGAGCCGCTGTAGCAAGGTGTGAGGGCAGAAGCGTTCCTCCGCGCGGATGTGGGGGTCTGGTGTGCACGCGGAGGGGTACCCTCGCGATCGGCCTCGTGCTGTGAGACGCGAGGTTGGCCCCAGGCAAGGGGGGCCTTGGCGGGAGCGAAGCAGGTGGTGGGCCGTTTTAATGGCCGGGGTCTTGCTCGGAGGAAACTCATCTTTTCTTTTAAGAGAGGGGTGAGGTGAGGTGAGGTGCGGTGTGAGACGCCAGTTCCGGGAGCCCCTGGCCCGGGTCTTCGCGGGGTCCGTAGCCCCCCGCTCTTCTCCAGGTCGGAGATTGCTTTGCGGGCGGGTCTGGAGGGTGAGGAGAAGGGAGGGAGCATTCAGATGGGGTTACAGCGAACCGCCTCGGGCGTGCGCGCCGCCCAGGGCCTCAGTCTACCCATCTGTAAGTAGGAGCCGCGCGATGAGGTGGGGTGGCCTGGAACTGTGCTCTGCCGGCTTGGATCGTGGGCAACTTTAAGGCAGTGAGCAGGGAGAGGACGGGGCGGGCGGGTCAGAGTCCGCAGGGAGGTCGCGCGGGGTGCCGCGTTCGGGGCCGGGCTGGGGAGCGCCTCCGGGCGGGTGGGCGGGCGTGGCGGCCTGGCTCCGGAGCGGGCTCAGCTTTGCGAGCGCCTCCGCGGGGCGGGCACCTCCGCGGGGCGGGCCCGGCGTGCGTCAGCGCGGAGCCCCGGCTCCCGGACGAGGGGCGGAGCGGCGGGCGGGGCGCAGCCAGTCTCCCGCCGCCGCTGCCGCCTCCGGACGCAGAGCGGGTCTCCGGGCTGACGGCTGCCGGCTGACGGCCGGCTAACCCACGTCGCGCAGGGAGTCCCGGGCGGCCGCGGTCACGTCGCTGTCTTCGGCGAGCGCCCAGAACGCAGGTGAGCGCGCGGGGTTCCGGGCCCGGCCGGCTGGGACCTGGGGGCCTGCGGGTGGCACTGCCCGTCTCCCCACGGCCCGTCAGCCCCGGCACCCCAAGGGCCGCCCGTCAGGACAGCCGCCCGGCCCCAGGCAGCGCGCCCCGGCCGGAGTCGGCCCGCGGGGGGCAGGCGGCGGGGCTTCCGCTCCCCTCCCCCGCCCCGCGCCGACTGCCCGGGAAGCCACGGCTCACCTGCTAGGCGCGGGGCGGGGGGCGCGGGTCCGCAGGGGAGTTTCCCTTGACCCCAGCTGCGGGAGAACTTTTCAGAAGTTCCTCGCGTGTCTGGAGCAGGTGACACTTGCCGCCGTCCGCCTCGGGCCCCCGGGCGGGGGTCGGGAGGGAGTCATGGCTCGGGAAGGAGGCGGAGGAGGAGGGTTTGCGCTCACCTGTTTGTCAGTCGCCGTCACATGCGGAGGCCACCGCCGTGAGTCACGGGCGCGGCGACACCGGCGGCCGCGGGCGCACGTAGGCTCGGTCCCACGCCCTCCCCTCCCTGGCACCTCTTCCCGGTCCTGTTTCCCGCTGGCGCGCCGTTGAAGCCCACCCCATAGCAGCCGTCCGACCTTAGTCGCACCTTTTTCCTCCGGTGGTCACACCGAGCGCCCCTCCCCGGCCTCACTGCCCACCGGTGCTCCACTCGGACACAGAGCCTCACCCCCAACCTGAATCACTGCCCTCCCGGACCTCCCGTCCAGAGGTCACCAGGTCCATCCCCCTGTCCCAACCTCTCAGCTCCGGTGGGGACGGGTGGGGGGGTTCAGCCGGTCCCACCTCGTCCAGTCCCGAGGTGAGCCATCTTGTTAAAATGCAGGCCTGGTATGGTCCGTCCCCGTTTGAACCTTTGGTGTCGTCCATGCCCTCAGGCTGCTGAGATCCCCTCTGCACCCGCACCCCTCCCACTGGCTCTGTCTAGCCCTTCACTGGCCTTGTATCCTTCTGGAACTACCTGTCTTCACCCGTCCTGCCCACCCTTCCCACCTCCTGTCCGGGTACTGGACCCACTTTGTAAACCCCTAACCAAGCCGCAAGAGTGCAACGCGGGTGTGCTGGCTCCGTGTGCCCATGCCTGCGGCTGTGCTGGACCTGGCAGGAGTCGGGTAAATACTGAGGAGTGAGGGAGTATTGAGGAGTGGGGGATGTTTTTGAGGAGTGAGGGGAGTATTGAGGGAGGATATTGATGAGTGGGGAGGTGTCAATGAGTGAGAGGGTAATGATGAATGAGTGGGGATAGGGAGGAGTGGGTGGGTATCAACAAGTAAAGGGGTATTGATGTTGAAGAGTGAGGGGGGAAGGAGTGAAGGAGGCCTGCTTAGGTGGAGGAAGCAGCTGCTGTCAAACACAGTTTTCCTTCTGCTGCAGTTGATGTCTCAGTAGCCAGCAAACGTTTGGCACCTACTCAGTGCCAGCCAGAGGCCAGGCTGAGGAACTGCCCCCTCCCACAGGGTCACTTTCAGAGGCTCAGGTAGGGAGGGCTGTGCCAAGGCTTCTGTCTGCCTGCTCTGGACTGCCCGTGCTGTTTTTCCAGCCAATCCCAGTGGGAGCCAGTGGGGCCCTGCCCTTCTCCCAGGAAGCAGTTCCTGAGGTCCTGGGACCATGTGTCCCAAGGTGTTGGGGGAACAGCCTGGCTAGGGCCTGGGGCTCTGAGGTGAAAGGATACATTCTTCTGATTCTGGGGAGGATAGAGGCAGCTGAAGCCCCCCCACACCCCCTCACCTCCCTAGTACCGGCTCTGGCAGGGAGCAGGGACTCTGACTGCTGAGGTGTGCAGAGGAGTGGGTGTGACTTTTTAGAGGCCCTAAGATATCCTGCCCCCACCCCAGGCCCCCAGAAAGTCTGTTTGCTTGGTGCCAGGGTGAGGTGGCCTCCCCTGGATCACACTGTGCCTCTGAGTATGTAGATGGTTGGGGCAAGCAGGAAGGGGTGGTATGCCCTCTTGACTGTTCGCTCCAGTTTGTGGTGGCAGGAGGGTGGCCTGATTCTCAGGGCCCAGGGAGATCCCTGAAGAAGCCTGGCTGTCTGAATCAGGACCTGCCTCCGGGACTCCTCAGGGTGTGTATTTCTGTTTGAGCCAGCTCATAGGAACTGCTTTTGCTTCTGGGGGACCCCAGGCTGGGCTCTGCTCCCTGGGAGCAGGGCCTGGACTGAGCTCTGCAGGCTCCACCCCCACCCTGACTCACTGGCTGACCCTTTCCTTGGGCTCTTTCACTATCTTTATTCCTTTCCTGACTTGGCCATCCGTGCTCTGGCTGGACCTTTTAGTCTCATCTCTTGGCTCTGCCAGTCTCGGCCTCTGTACTCCTGGGACAAGCTCCAGATCCAGGGCCTCTTCCTCCGACCTGACCCCAAAGCAGTGTCAGGAAGGGGTGCTTCCTCATTTCCTTCCAAGGCTGCAGATCCTGCTAGAGTTCATCCCCAGAACCTGCGGCCATAGCTTCCCTGTGTCCATGTGTCCCTGCCTGCAGCCCTGGAGCTTACGGGTCCCTCACCTCACATTCCCACTCCGCAGGCATCTCTGGGGCAGGGCCTGGGTGTTGGCTCCAACCTGCTTCCTTGCATCTCTTTCCAGGTTTATGCTTGGGGAACAGGGAGCCTCCTGAGATGCTTGCATTGGCACCTGCCTGCAGCCCTCAGAGCTGCCCCTTCTGGGTACGACTCTAGCTCACACTCTCTGGCACAGGCTGGGGGATGGGCACATGACCCTCCCTCCTTAAACTGTGGCAGGAGCTGGAGATCACACTGACCAGTCACTTCCCAGAATCTCACGTGCTTAAATCTTGTTTCTGTGTTTATACCTGATGTACTGCACCTGCCTCTGCCGGGCCTCAGGTACCCTCTGTATGCTAGACTCTGCTCTAGGTGTGGGCACAGTGATGCTGCGCAGAGAGGCCCTCGCTGGCATGGGGGAGGGAATGGGGAGACTGTTGCCAGAGGGTGCAATGAAGGCTGTGGTGGGGGACTCCCAGGGCCCTGGTATCCAGAGAGCCCTGTAGTCAGGGAGGAGGAGTGGGGTATTAGGGAGGCCCTTGTTAGGATGTGGCTCCTAAAGGGGGTGCAAGGACCAGGAGGAGGGCAGGTCACACCACTGAGGGCACTCCAGCACAGCTGGAGTATAAAATGAGGGGCTGGGGTAGGGAGAGTCTCACCTGAGATGAGTCTGGAGGGGAGGTGACAGCCAGGCATGGGGTGGCAGGTACATGTATGACTTGTTAAGATCACTGGCTACAGGGCAAAGAATGGCTTTGGGGAGAGGGTAGGAGCAGAGGCAGCGGACATGAGTAGTAGGAGTGGGGACAGAGACATGAGGGTAATAAACTGCTGAGTGAAGATGACATGTATAAAATGCATAGCATATATGAATCTTAGGCATACAGTTAGGTGAATTTTTAGTTTGTGACACCCATGGAACCACACCCAGACCAACAGGGAACATTTCCAGGCCCCCTGAAGAGTCCCTTATGACTATCTCCAGTGCACCCCCCACCCCCATTCTGACCTGAATCATTCATTACCAGTTGGGTTTGCCATTTTTTGACCATCGTTCTCATGTGTTCCTGTCTGGCTTCCTTCACTCAGCATGACGTCAGTGAGATTTATCTGTGTTGTGTATCCAGGGAGCTCATTTTTTTCCACGGTGTAGAATGACACATTCACCAAGCATTTACCACTGTTCTAAGAACTTGACATTTATTGATTCACGTAAACCTTCCAACCCTATGAGGTTTTAAGACCAAGAATTGGAGACACAGAGAGGTTAAAGCACTTGCCCAGGGTCACCCAGGCAAATAATAGCCAACTGGGTTCAAGTGCAGACAGTCTGATTCTGGAGCCAAGGTTCTTAACACTATGCTGGGTGGCCTCCCTGACGCCTACTGAGTCTGTGGCCTGGCCTTGAGTGGATTCATGAGCTAATGTGTACGTTATAATAAACTAGGCGGCTGGATGTGGATGGAGGGGGAGTTGAGGATGACTGCAGGTTTCTGGCTTGAGTAACTCGGTGGGTGGCGGTGCTGTTACTAAGATAGGGAACACAGGAAGAGGAACAGATGGCACGGGGGGCAGGGAACAGACAAGGGGTTTGATTTGGGGCCTGTGGAATTTTGTGTGTCTAATGGACGGCCAGGCAGTTACCAAGTGGGCATTTGGTTTTGGGGATTCTCAAGCTTGGGTGTGTGATTAGGGAGGCATTCAGCAGCCTATAGACAGTGTCTAGAGTTTGGGAAAGGTCTCTCAGCAGGACTGTGAAGGGGGCAAGATGCACGAGTGTGGTTTGTCTGCATGTTGTTCCTGTGTGTCTTGAGTGTTGCGGTGGCCTGCACTTGAACATGGGGCAGCCTGGCTCTGGGTCATGAATTCCCCCATCTCCTGGGAGGGCCTGCAGGTCAGCTGGGAGCTGGGTTGTTTTTGTTTGTGGTTTGACCCTGAGGTGGAGGGGGGCTGCCAAGCTTAAGGAACTACCCTCTCAGAAGCCCCGGAAGCACCTGTGCGTCCTCCCCAGCCAGGCTGGAGGTTAGCAAGGAGGGGAGCTTCTGCTTCTCTTGTGTCTGCAGGGAGAGGCTATCCCTGGTAAGTCGGCTGACAATGCACACTCTCTGGGTCTGGGGTCCAGGGACTTGTGGGAGGCTTGGCAAAGGGGGATTGGGTGTTTAGAAAGGACACCTAAGCAGGGGAGCTGGCCAGCCTTCTGGCCTCTCATTTCCTGTAATGGCAGTGGGGGAGGGCTCCCCAGCACTGAGGCCCTCTGCATGTTTCCCCTTCTTCCTGATGACCTCCTGGGCCTGGCCCTGAGTGCTGAGAGAGCAGGAGACAGGTTCGCTGTGCTCAGCCCTTAGGATAGCCCTTTGGGGATTCCCAAACAGCGGGAGGGACTGTTGTTGATTGCAGCATTTGCGGGAAGGGGCCCCCAGCCTCCTCCTCTCTGAGGAGGCTGGCCAGGCTGTGGGAGCCTCTGGCTGCGCTCCTGCAGAGGGCTGACACCCTCCAAGGGGAGACACAAGTGGAGTGTCATGGGGTGCTGCAGGTCACCAAGCTGCAGGCAGGGTGGGACATCATCCTGGCCTGTCAGTTTCTCAAAATTTTTTTCAAGGGGAAAAAATAATTTCCATAGGAAGTTAATCCAAACAAATGGGGTAGATATTGAAGGAGAGGCAAGATGGGGGTGAGTTTTAAGATCCAACATGAGACGTTGGAGAGATGCCCCAGGCCTGGAGGCAGGGAACTTCTGCCGGGTGGGGTTGGCAGGGGTTTCTGGGGAGAGTCTGAGCCGCGCCAACGCAGATAGGAGGGGCCCAAGAAAGCTCTGAGTCTGGGAATCTGGGGGCCTAGCCAGCCTGGTGCGAGCAGGGTGTGTGTGCAGGGTGGCTGTCTGCGGGAGGAAGAGGGGGAAGCAGGCCGGTGCTCCTGAGGGCTGTGGGCACCCCCACCGAGGCACACAGCTGCAACGTGTGAATCACCCAACCAGTGAGTCAGCCCAGGGCTCCCGTGGGGAGTGGGGAGGCCTGGCTGGGGCCCGTCCTCGCCTGCGGGGCTGCCTTAGACGCTGCTGTGGAGGAGGGTTGCAGGAGGCAGGGAGGCAGGTGCCTGGCGGAGTCCCAGGAAGACTGCCGGGGAGGTGGGAGTGTGCAGGGGCCCGGGTGAGGGCTTGGCCTAGGGGCACCTGCGGCCGGCACCCACCTGGCCCGGCGTGCCCCTCAGAGCCCTGGCCTTGCCCCTGCAGGCTGCGCCGCCATGACCGGGCTGCGGAAGAGGAAGCTTGACCAGCTGGACGAGGACTCCTCCTCGCTCTGCTCGTCCTCCTCACTGTCGTCGGGCCACCACTCCCGCTCCTGCTCCCCGAGCTCATCCGTCTGCCTGGCCTGGGACTCGGACGAGGAGGGCCCCTGGGATCAGACGCCGCTGCCTGACCGTGATGCCTGTGGCCCCCAGAAAGCTGCCCGTGAGTCCCCCCTACCGGGACGCCTGCCACACCCCGTCTTCCTTCCTGAGAATGAAACCGTGTCCCTGCGCTTGTGCTTCCCGCCCTGTCCCCTTCCCGGGCTGAGCGACGTCCACCGTCGGGGCACGGGGCCACACCTCCCGCGCCGCGCCTGGCGGACGGAGGGCCGGCTCCTCCCCCGGCTCCAGTTCCGCCTCTCCGGGGCTGCCGCGGCTCCCTCCTGCCGCGCGCTGCTGGCTCTGCCAGAACTGGGTGGAAAGGCTTGTTACTTTCCGGGCNGGGCTGGGGAGCGCCTCCGGGCGGGTGGGCGGGCGTGGCGGCCTGGCTCCGGAGCGGGCTCAGCTTTGCGAGCGCCTCCGCGGGGCGGGCACCTCCGCGGGGCGGGCCCGGCGTGCGTCAGCGCGGAGCCCCGGCTCCCGGACGAGGGGCGGAGAGGCGGGCGGGGCGCAGCCAGTCTCCCGCCGCCGCTGCCGCCTCCGGACGCAGAGCGGGTCTCCGGGCTGACGGCTGCCGGCTGACGGCCGGCTAACCCACGTCGCGCAGGGAGTCCCGGGCGGCCGCGGTCACGTCGCTGTCTTCGGCGAGCGCCCAGAACGCAGGTGAGCGCGCGGGGTTCCGGGCCCGGCCGGCTGGGACCTGGGGGCCTGCGGGTGGCACTGCCCGTCTCCCCACGGCCCGTCAGCCCCGGCACCCCAAGGGCCGCCCGTCAGGACAGCCGCCCGGCCCCAGGCAGCGCGCCCCGGCCGGAGTCGGCCCGCGGGGGGCAGGCGGCGGGGCTTCCGCTCCCCTCCCCCGCCCCGCGCCGACTGCCCGGGAAGCCACGGCTCACCTGCTAGGCGCGGGGCGGGGGGCGCGGGTCCGCAGGGGAGTTTCCCTTGACCCCAGCTGCGGGAGAACTTTTCAGAAGTTCCTCGCGTGTCTGGAGCAGGTGACACTTGCCGCCGTCCGCCTCGGGCCCCCGGGCGGGGGTCGGGAGGGAGTCATGGCTCGGGAAGGAGGCGGAGGAGGAGGGTTTGCGCTCACCTGTTTGTCAGTCGCCGTCACATGCGGAGGCCACCGCCGTGAGTCACGGGCGCGGCGACACCGGCGGCCGCGGGCGCACGTAGGCTCGGTCCCACGCCCTCCCCTCCCTGGCACCTCTTCCCGGTCCTGTTTCCCGCTGGCGCGCCGTTGAAGCCCACCCCATAGCAGCCGTCCGACCTTAGTCGCACCTTTTTCCTCCGGTGGTCACACCGAGCGCCCCTCCCCGGCCTCACTGCCCACCGGTGCTCCACTCGGACACAGAGCCTCACCCCCAACCTGAATCACTGCCCTCCCGGACCTCCCGTCCAGAGGTCACCAGGTCCATCCCCCTGTCCCAACCTCTCAGCTCCGGTGGGGACGGGTGGGGGGGTTCAGCCGGTCCCACCTCGTCCAGTCCCGAGGTGAGCCATCTTGTTAAAATGCAGGCCTGGTATGGTCCGTCCCCGTTTGAACCTTTGGTGTCGTCCATGCCCTCAGGCTGCTGAGATCCCCTCTGCACCCGCACCCCTCCCACTGGCTCTGTCTAGCCCTTCACTGGCCTTGTATCCTTCTGGAACTACCTGTCTTCACCCGTCCTGCCCACCCTTCCCACCTCCTGTCCGGGTACTGGACCCACTTTGTAAACCCCTAACCAAGCCGCAAGAGTGCAACGCGGGTGTGCTGGCTCCGTGTGCCCATGCCTGCGGCTGTGCTGGACCTGGCAGGAGTCGGGTAAATACTGAGGAGTGAGGGAGTATTGAGGAGTGGGGGATGTTTTTGAGGAGTGAGGGGAGTATTGAGGGAGGATATTGATGAGTGGGGAGGTGTCAATGAGTGAGAGGGTAATGATGAATGAGTGGGGATAGGGAGGAGTGGGTGGGTATCAACAAGTAAAGGGGTATTGATGTTGAAGAGTGAGGGGGGAAGGAGTGAAGGAGGCCTGCTTAGGTGGAGGAAGCAGCTGCTGTCAAACACAGTTTTCCTTCTGCTGCAGTTGATGTCTCAGTAGCCAGCAAACGTTTGGCACCTACTCAGTGCCAGCCAGAGGCCAGGCTGAGGAACTGCCCCCTCCCACAGGGTCACTTTCAGAGGCTCAGGTAGGGAGGGCTGTGCCAAGGCTTCTGTCTGCCTGCTCTGGACTGCCCGTGCTGTTTTTCCAGCCAATCCCAGTGGGAGCCAGTGGGGCCCTGCCCTTCTCCCAGGAAGCAGTTCCTGAGGTCCTGGGACCATGTGTCCCAAGGTGTTGGGGGAACAGCCTGGCTAGGGCCTGGGGCTCTGAGGTGAAAGGATACATTCTTCTGATTCTGGGGAGGATAGAGGCAGCTGAAGCCCCCCCACACCCCCTCACCTCCCTAGTACCGGCTCTGGCAGGGAGCAGGGACTCTGACTGCTGAGGTGTGCAGAGGAGTGGGTGTGACTTTTTAGAGGCCCTAAGATATCCTGCCCCCACCCCAGGCCCCCAGAAAGTCTGTTTGCTTGGTGCCAGGGTGAGGTGGCCTCCCCTGGATCACACTGTGCCTCTGAGTATGTAGATGGTTGGGGCAAGCAGGAAGGGGTGGTATGCCCTCTTGACTGTTCGCTCCAGTTTGTGGTGGCAGGAGGGTGGCCTGATTCTCAGGGCCCAGGGAGATCCCTGAAGAAGCCTGGCTGTCTGAATCAGGACCTGCCTCCGGGACTCCTCAGGGTGTGTATTTCTGTTTGAGCCAGCTCATAGGAACTGCTTTTGCTTCTGGGGGACCCCAGGCTGGGCTCTGCTCCCTGGGAGCAGGGCCTGGACTGAGCTCTGCAGGCTCCACCCCCACCCTGACTCACTGGCTGACCCTTTCCTTGGGCTCTTTCACTATCTTTATTCCTTTCCTGACTTGGCCATCCGTGCTCTGGCTGGACCTTTTAGTCTCATCTCTTGGCTCTGCCAGTCTCGGCCTCTGTACTCCTGGGACAAGCTCCAGATCCAGGGCCTCTTCCTCCGACCTGACCCCAAAGCAGTGTCAGGAAGGGGTGCTTCCTCATTTCCTTCCAAGGCTGCAGATCCTGCTAGAGTTCATCCCCAGAACCTGCGGCCATAGCTTCCCTGTGTCCATGTGTCCCTGCCTGCAGCCCTGGAGCTTACGGGTCCCTCACCTCACATTCCCACTCCGCAGGCATCTCTGGGGCAGGGCCTGGGTGTTGGCTCCAACCTGCTTCCTTGCATCTCTTTCCAGGTTTATGCTTGGGGAACAGGGAGCCTCCTGAGATGCTTGCATTGGCACCTGCCTGCAGCCCTCAGAGCTGCCCCTTCTGGGTACGACTCTAGCTCACACTCTCTGGCACAGGCTGGGGGATGGGCACATGACCCTCCCTCCTTAAACTGTGGCAGGAGCTGGAGATCACACTGACCAGTCACTTCCCAGAATCTCACGTGCTTAAATCTTGTTTCTGTGTTTATACCTGATGTACTGCACCTGCCTCTGCCGGGCCTCAGGTACCCTCTGTATGCTAGACTCTGCTCTAGGTGTGGGCACAGTGATGCTGCGCAGAGAGGCCCTCGCTGGCATGGGGGAGGGAATGGGGAGACTGTTGCCAGAGGGTGCAATGAAGGCTGTGGTGGGGGACTCCCAGGGCCCTGGTATCCAGAGAGCCCTGTAGTCAGGGAGGAGGAGTGGGGTATTAGGGAGGCCCTTGTTAGGATGTGGCTCCTAAAGGGGGTGCAAGGACCAGGAGGAGGGCAGGTCACACCACTGAGGGCACTCCAGCACAGCTGGAGTATAAAATGAGGGGCTGGGGTAGGGAGAGTCTCACCTGAGATGAGTCTGGAGGGGAGGTGACAGCCAGGCATGGGGTGGCAGGTACATGTATGACTTGTTAAGATCACTGGCTACAGGGCAAAGAATGGCTTTGGGGAGAGGGTAGGAGCAGAGGCAGCGGACATGAGTAGTAGGAGTGGGGACAGAGACATGAGGGTAATAAACTGCTGAGTGAAGATGACATGTATAAAATGCATAGCATATATGAATCTTAGGCATACAGTTAGGTGAATTTTTAGTTTGTGACACCCATGGAACCACACCCAGACCAACAGGGAACATTTCCAGGCCCCCTGAAGAGTCCCTTATGACTATCTCCAGTGCACCCCCCACCCCCATTCTGACCTGAATCATTCATTACCAGTTGGGTTTGCCATTTTTTGACCATCGTTCTCATGTGTTCCTGTCTGGCTTCCTTCACTCAGCATGACGTCAGTGAGATTTATCTGTGTTGTGTATCCAGGGAGCTCATTTTTTTCCACGGTGTAGAATGACACATTCACCAAGCATTTACCACTGTTCTAAGAACTTGACATTTATTGATTCACGTAAACCTCCCAACCCTATGAGGTTTTAAGACCAAGAATTGGAGACACAGAGAGGTTAAAGCACTTGCCCAGGGTCACCCAGGCAAATAATAGCCAACTGGGTTCAAGTGCAGACAGTCTGATTCTGGAGCCAAGGTTCTTAACACTATGCTGGGTGGCCTCCCTGACGCCTACTGAGTCTGTGGCCTGGCCTTGAGTGGATTCATGAGCTAATGTGTACGTTATAATAAACTAGGCGGCTGGATGTGGATGGAGGGGGAGTTGAGGATGACTGCAGGTTTCTGGCTTGAGTAACTCGGTGGGTGGCGGTGCTGTTACTAAGATAGGGAACACAGGAAGAGGAACAGATGGCACGGGGGGCAGGGAACAGACAAGGGGTTTGATTTGGGGCCTGTGGAATTTTGTGTGTCTAATGGACGGCCAGGCAGTTACCAAGTGGGCATTTGGTTTTGGGGATTCTCAAGCTTGGGTGTGTGATTAGGGAGGCATTCAGCAGCCTATAGACAGTGTCTAGAGTTTGGGAAAGGTCTCTCAGCAGGACTGTGAAGGGGGCAAGATGCACGAGTGTGGTTTGTCTGCATGTTGTTCCTGTGTGTCTTGAGTGTTGCGGTGGCCTGCACTTGAACATGGGGCAGCCTGGCTCTGGGTCATGAATTCCCCCATCTCCTGGGAGGGCCTGCAGGTCAGCTGGGAGCTGGGTTGTTTTTGTTTGTGGTTTGACCCTGAGGTGGAGGGGGGCTGCCAAGCTTAAGGAACTACCCTCTCAGAAGCCCCGGAAGCACCTGTGCGTCCTCCCCAGCCAGGCTGGAGGTTAGCAAGGAGGGGAGCTTCTGCTTCTCTTGTGTCTGCAGGGAGAGGCTATCCCTGGTAAGTCGGCTGACAATGCACACTCTCTGGGTCTGGGGTCCAGGGACTTGTGGGAGGCTTGGCAAAGGGGGATTGGGTGTTTAGAAAGGACACCTAAGCAGGGGAGCTGGCCAGCCTTCTGGCCTCTCATTTCCTGTAATGGCAGTGGGGGAGGGCTCCCCAGCACTGAGGCCCTCTGCATGTTTCCCCTTCTTCCTGATGACCTCCTGGGCCTGGCCCTGAGTGCTGAGAGAGCAGGAGACAGGTTCGCTGTGCTCAGCCCTTAGGATAGCCCTTTGGGGATTCCCAAACAGCGGGAGGGACTGTTGTTGATTGCAGCATTTGCGGGAAGGGGCCCCCAGCCTCCTCCTCTCTGAGGAGGCTGGCCAGGCTGTGGGAGCCTCTGGCTGCGCTCCTGCAGAGGGCTGACACCCTCCAAGGGGAGACACAAGTGGAGTGTCATGGGGTGCTGCAGGTCACCAAGCTGCAGGCAGGGTGGGACATCATCCTGGCCTGTCAGTTTCTCAAAATTTTTTTCAAGGGGAAAAAATAATTTCCATAGGAAGTTAATCCAAACAAATGGGGTAGATATTGAAGGAGAGGCAAGATGGGGGTGAGTTTTAAGATCCAACATGAGACGTTGGAGAGATGCCCCAGGCCTGGAGGCAGGGAACTTCTGCCGGGTGGGGTTGGCAGGGGTTTCTGGGGAGAGTCTGAGCCGCGCCAACGCAGATAGGAGGGGCCCAAGAAAGCTCTGAGTCTGGGAATCTGGGGGCCTAGCCAGCCTGGTGCGAGCAGGGTGTGTGTGCAGGGTGGCTGTCTGCGGGAGGAAGAGGGGGAAGCAGGCCGGTGCTCCTGAGGGCTGTGGGCACCCCCACCGAGGCACACAGCTGCAACGTGTGAATCACCCAACCAGTGAGTCAGCCCAGGGCTCCCGTGGGGAGTGGGGAGGCCTGGCTGGGGCCCGTCCTCGCCTGCGGGGCTGCCTTAGACGCTGCTGTGGAGGAGGGTTGCAGGAGGCAGGGAGGCAGGTGCCTGGCGGAGTCCCAGGAAGACTGCCGGGGAGGTGGGAGTGTGCAGGGGCCCGGGTGAGGGCTTGGCCTAGGGGCACCTGCGGCCGGCACCCACCTGGCCCGGCGTGCCCCTCAGAGCCCTGGCCTTGCCCCTGCAGGCTGCGCCGCCATGACCGGGCTGCGGAAGAGGAAGCTTGACCAGCTGGACGAGGACTCCTCCTCGCTCTGCTCATCCTCCTCACTGTCGTCGGGCCACCACTCCCGCTCCTGCTCCCCGAGCTCATCCGTCTGCCTGGCCTGGGACTCGGACGAGGAGGGCCCCTGGGATCAGACGCCGCTGCCTGACCGTGATGCCTGTGGCCCCCAGAAAGCTGCCCGTGAGTCCCCCCTACCGGGACGCCTGCCACACCCCGTCTTCCTTCCTGAGAATGAAACCGTGTCCCTGCGCTTGTGCTTCCCGCCCTGTCCCCTTCCCGGGCTGAGCGACGTCCACCGTCGGGGCACGGGGCCACACCTCCCGCGCCGCGCCTGGCGGACGGAGGGCCGGCTCCTCCCCCGGCTCCAGTTCCGCCTCTCCGGGGCTGCCGCGGCTCCCTCCTGCCGCGCGCTGCTGGCTCTGCCAGAACTGGGTGGAAAGGCTTGTTACTTTCCGGGCTGGCATGATTCTGATGCCACACTGACAGAAAAGGCCCGGGAGCAGTGCCTCTCAACCGCATTTGCCTGGCCCGTCCCCCACTAGAGCCCTCTTGGACCCCTGTTCCCCCCGCAGTTTAATACCACAGACAAGGCTGTTCATGTACAATGTGTGTACCGGTGTACACACATTAAAAAGTATGATTTTTAGCACATAGAATGAAACAGTACATAAACTGACTAAACTAGTATGGTTTTGTTCTAGAAATACAAGTTTATTATTATAAACCCAGTCTTATACTTTACCAATGACTATGTCAGAGGGAGAAAAATAGGAGAGCTGCGATAGATGCTGAAAGAATATTTGATAAAATGTAACATTCCTTCTAGATAAGATCCTTGGGGTAAGGTAGGAACAAGCAAATTCTACCTTAAATGATAAAAAAAAGTCTCAACCGGAAAGCTGGCATTCTGATTAATGATGAGATACTAGAAGCAGTCCCACTGAACAGGGTGAGGGCGCTGTGTCTCAGCTGGGTTAGCTAACATTGTTCCGGAAGTCGATTCAGGTACCAAAGCGAGTAAGAATTCTGTGTACTGGATTGACTAGGCAAAATTGCCATTATCTACAGATGGCTGACTGCCTGGTGAACTGAAGAACATAAATAAAAACTTTTAGAGGGAATTCCCTTTAAATAATTCCCTTTCATTTTAATTTTGTCGCTGGGTACAAAATTAATATATTAAGTTGAAATATGTGGAATTGCCAATATTCAACTATTGTATGGTAATTTCTTACAATTCAACCTGATAAAAAGCAACAATATACCAATATATGTATTGAATATGCCAATACATAGCTTATTTATCAGTGTATAATCAGTAACTTACAAAGGCAATTCCAAATAACAGCCTTTCTAAGCCTGTTGTAAAACATAGACTCTATAAAGGAAAAGATTGGTATTTTTTAGTTACATAAACTTTAGAAATTATTTTGTAAAATGTCATGAAAAAAACTAAAAAACTAAAACATTTGCACAGATAGGTTAGACAGATGATTAACATCTCTAATACCGTATGTAAAGAGCTTCTAAAAATAAATAAAAACTAGAAAACTGTACAAGGGACCCATAAATGGCTAAAATAAAGTGGGAAAGATATTTAATCTTACAAAATGCTCTCATTTGAACTGGTAAATAACAGTAAGCCCACACTGACATAGGGTGGTATTCAGTTCTACCAGCTCCAATCCCAGCCAGGCCGACCCCTAAGTACGATCCATGACTTCCTGGGGGGAAGGGCACAGGATGAGGTGTGAAAAAACAGTTCAGCATCATCTGAGAGGTTATGCTGTGCCCCCTTGTGCCCCAGGGGACTGATGCCCTACCCCTTGCCTTCCAGCCTTGTCCATCCTGAAGCGGGCTCCCCGGAAGCACCCAGCCCACATAGCCTTTGATGGCATCACTGTCTTCTACTTCCCTCGGTGCCAGGGCTTCACCAGTGTGCCCCGCCGTGGCGGCTGCACTCTGGGAATGGCCTCCCGCCACAGTGCCTGCCGTCGCTTCTCCTTGGCTGAGTTCACCCAGGAGCAAGCCCAGGCTCGGCAAGAGAAGCTGAGGCTGCGCTTGAAGGAGGAGAGGCTGGAGGGGCTGCGCTGGAAGGTAGGGACCCTCACAGGGCCACAGCCTTGGGTGTCTTCTGAGGGGAGGGGTGCTGGGTGGGTTGTTTGTTTATGCTATGTTTGGGGAAGGAGGCCCTTGGGGCCTGTTGGCTCAGGCTGTTCCCTGGTGTCCTGCCAATTATCTGTAGGACATAGAAGTGCCCCTGGTTGCTGCAGGGGCTGGGGGCTTGTGCCCAAATCTGTCTGACCCCAGTGGGGAGGACATGGGGTCCATGTGACAGTGGAGGGTGGGGTTTTCCATGAACTGGGAATGACGTGGACAGGAAATCTGAGCACACATCCTGGGGCAGTGTTCTCAGCTGTCCTGTTCGCTGTGGCATCCTCGGTACCTGGCCCACAGCGTGGGGAGCCTTTACTGAGTGACGGGGTTGTAGGGCCAAGACTATGTGTCTGTCACATCCCTCTTTCCTACGGTTGTAGCTTGCAGAGGCTGGGGTGCCTGAAAGCGAGGCGGACCTGCCTCTTACAGTGGATGCCATCGATGATGCTTCTATGGAGGAGGCCTTGACAGTGGCTATGGCAGACGGCCAGTTGGAGGAAATGACCTTCCTACAACCCTACCCAGCCCGGCAGCGGCGGGCTCTGCTTCGGGCCGCAGGCGTGCGGAGGATCGATCGTGAGGAGAAGCGGGAGCTGCAGGCTCTGCGCAAGTCACGGGAGGATTGTGGCTGTCGCTGTGATAGGGTCTGTGACCCTGCGACCTGCAGCTGCTGCCAGGCAGGCATCCAGTGCCAGGTGCAGTGTTGATGGTGCTGGGAGGGGGAGCCTGAGTGGGGGCTTCTTGGGATCCCATGGATTCTCACCCATGCCTCTGCTTCCTTTGCAGATGGACCACACAGCATTCCCCTGTGGCTGCTGCAGGGAGGGCTGTGAGAACCCCAGGGGCCGCGTGGAGTTTAATCAGGCACGTGTACAGACGCATTTCATCCACACGCTCACTCGCCTGCAACTGGAGCAGGGGGCTGAGGGCTTTGGGGAGCTGGAGGCCCCTGCCCATGGCGGCTTGGCCTGTCCTGGTGCACAAGACCTGGCCAAACCCCCTGTGAGCAGTAAACTGGGTGATACCAGCTGTAGCAGCATGACTGATTCCTCCACAGCCTCAGGCACCAGCGAGGTCCCTGGCTGCCCTGTCCTCCCCGCCCTGTCTGGCCTTGGCTCCCAGCCTGGCTTGGGTGATGACAGTCTGGCACGGATCCTGAGTTTCAGTGACTCTGACCTGGGTGGAGAAGAAGAGGAAGAGGAGGAAGGGGGTGTGGGGAGCCTGGACAACCTCAGCTGCTTCCACCTAACTGACATCTTTGGTACTGGTGACCCTGGTGGTCTGGCCAGCTGGACCCACAGCTATTCTAGCTCTAACCTCACGTCGGGCATCTTGGATGAAAATGCCAACCTGGATGCCAGCTGCTTCCTCAACAGTGGCCTTGAAGGGTCAGGAGAAGGCAGCCTCCCTGGCACCTCAGTGCCTCCCGACATGGATGCCGGCCAGAGCAGCTCTGTGGACCTCAGCTTGTCATCCTGCGACTCCTTTGAGCTGCTCCAGGCCCTGCCAGACTACAGTCTGGGGCCTCGCTATGCCTCACGGAAGGTGTCTGACAGCCTGGACCACCTTGAGGCAGCCCACTACCCCTTGCCTGCCTTTTCTCCTCCTGGGGATCCTGGTACTTGCTTCCTGGAGTCCATCATGGGCTTGTCGGAGCCGGCTGCTGAGGCCCTGGCTCCCTTTGTGGACAGCCAGCTGCTTGAGGACACCTCCCCAGCGTCTCTGCTGGAGCCTGTGCCTGTGTGAGGATGGGGGGTACTTTTTCTGGCCCCACGAGCCCTGTTGCTTCATTGTAATCTGGAGCTTCTGAGGTCTAAATGCAAGCTTCCCGTGGGCTGGCTCACCCAGTGTGGGTGCTCCCAGTTTTCACGCAACACTCTGGATGAATTTATTTATTTTTGTAACTTTCTGTGCTGAAGAGATGGTGGGGCAGGGGTTTCCCTGCCCAACCACCCAGACCCCTGTGCCCCTGTGCCACATAACTTCTTCTGCTCCCACGGAGCATGCTGGGAAGAGGAGGAAACGTGGCTCCCCTGGAGCTTTGTAGACCTGTTTGGTCTCTTGTGATCCTAAGCCAGGTTATGAGACAGGTCTTAAATCTCTACTTCCTATGGCTTTTCCTGCCACCTTGAGCCCTAGACCCATGGCTGAATCCTCTGGACTGTGAAGACTATAATTTATTTCTGTAATTTATTTGGGGACTAGGTGGTGTAGGCTTCTCCTGACTGGTGGGCAGTGCTCGGTTCACCATGGGGTGGGGCCCAGATCCCTGGGGGCCCCTCTGCCTGTGGTCCTGCAGCTCTGCCCTGACTGGGCTTTGGTACCGACCAGATGTGGATTCAAGGCCTGTGGTCTACCATGGCAGCTGCCTGGATCCGGGTGGCTGAGTGGGCAGGGGCTGATGGACAGCCTCTGGCCAGAGGGAGGGCTAGGCTGGCCAAGTGTGACCAAAACCCTCTTCTTCCCTATACCCCCTCTGCTTCCTGTCCTCTGCCCATCTCCTGCAAGACCACAGCCTTTATTCAAAAGCCCACCAATGTAGGAAGGGAAGCAGGAGGCCCAGAGCAGTGTCGGGAGCATGCCCCGGCTTCTATCTCAGGGCTTCCTGGGCACTGTGCTCCAGCGTGGTTGCCAGCCGTGCCCTAAGGTCAGGGGTGAGGGGTGGCCCATGGCCCTTACGCCCTTGTCTGCTGATGCTGAATACTGCATCATTTCCATATTTTTCCAAGTCTTAGAACTATAATTTATTCATTTTTCTGTGTCTGTACCAAGAAGCCCAGGCTGTGGGCTGGCCCTCTTGCCTAGAAGGCCTTCTCAGCCTGCGTGCTTGTGGAAACACCTTGTACCTGAGCTTCCAGGTTCCAATAAAGAGGTTCCATTTTTAACAGTGTGGTCTGTGTTTGTGGGCTGGGAGCACATTGTCAGTAGGCAGGAGGCAGTCAGGAATACAAACCCTGCAGGCCAGTGTGGATAGGAACAGGGGACACAGCACCATGGACCTCCCCCATCAGGGCAGTCAGCCTGGGGACTGCAGGCCAAGAGGCTAGCCGGGCAGATGGAGTCATTTTTCCTCTGGATGCCTATCTTTCCTGTGGGCGCAGTGGGGAGCAGGAGGGTGCTCTCCTATGCTGGCTCCCTGCTTGGGGTGGGTGGGGATACACTCCTTCCCAGTCACCCCACCAATGGGCTGGCCCTGGGGTGGGTCACCCCTCTAGGTGGGACAGGCAGGGGGATGAGCAGCTGAGATCCTTGGGGCTGAGAAGCAGATGCCATGCAACCTCATCCCTGGCCCCCACAAGGCTGTCCGACCTGCTTGGGGAGCAGCCTGGGCTGTAGGCCAGAGGGGCAGGCACGTCCTGCCCTGGGGAGCTGGGTATGGGGGCCTGAAGAGCAAGGGTGCCCCCATCTAGAATAAAAATGATCCACGCAAGTTTTAGGAGGGGACTGATCTGGCCTCCCTTTCTGGCTCTAATTCTCATCTAAAGGTCTGTGCTGGGTGCCCCTTCCTTTGTCTCTGTGGCTTCCACCTACTTCCCCTCTGTGCCTCAGAACTGCGTGGATAGTGACAGCACTCATCTCATAAGCCTTTACGTATAAGCACAGTGATTAGAAGAGTGCCTGGAAAATGGCAAACCTCGGCATGTTCGTGACTTCCATTCTGTCTTCATATTCCTGCTTGTATTTCAGTTTTATCCCTTCCTTTTCTACTGGTCCTGTGACCCTTTAGGTGTCTGTCTCTTGCCTCTGGCCATACCCAGACATGGCCATGTGGCCATATTGTTAGTGGCCATCAGAGGACTCATGGCTTGGGTCTGGCCTGGTAGGGCGGCCTGTCTCTGTAACCAGCTTGGCCAGGACAACCAGGCCTGAGGCTTCTCAGGATGGAGTGTCCTAGTACATTCAGCTGTTCTGGCTCCCCTCGCCCTGATCTCTGGGATGCTTTTACAGAGAATGTCTCGACGTGCTTGATCCAAAATCTGGGTTTGCCTGGGGCTCTGGGGCCCTGCTCTGGCCATCCTGGGGGGCTGGCTGGAAGCCCCTGTGGGCTCCTACCCCAGAGACGCAGCCCATGGCAGGACTGAGCCTGCCCATTCCTCATCCAGGGCCACTGGATCACTTCTTGGCTTTTTTGTAGATAAATGAAGACAATTTAGTTTTACAGCAATAAAAATGTGATTAATGTACTGTCCTTCACAGCCTCATTCTCCCAACAAACAGATGATCCCCAAGAAACCGGGTTGTAAAGCAGATCTTATAAAGGGACTGGCTTCCCATGGAAGGATAGTAGCAACCTGCGGAAAGCATTTCAGACCTTTGACGCACACCTAGAGTTATAAAATGTTATAAAAACAAGGCTCCTTAAGGACAGATAACTCAGGCTGTTCTAAAAGGGACCCTTACCTGTTCACTGTCCCCAAACCTTAGTCAGGGGACAGCTTCTCTTGAGAACTTTGGCCCACCTACATTCTACTCATATTTTTACATCAGTTCTATCAATACGCTTAAAAGTTAGAACTGTCCTATGTAATAGCACCCAAAAATTCATGAGTTTGTTATGCTATTTTTTCCCTCTATTATATAAAAATATTATCTAAACAGAGCTATTACACCTTAAAATGTTTGCTGTATGTCGTTGTCAGGGATCTGTGCCATGACTTGGGAACACAGATGTAGTCTAATTTCCTGCCCCACTGAGACCCAGAGAGGGGAAGGTGTCAGGAAGGTCACGTGGGAAGATGCTTAACCTCCTGACCCCCACTTCAGCATTCCTCCCCTTGAAGCCAGACTGGCCCAGTGTTGCCCTCCTGAAAAACAGGAAAGAGGTGTTGATAGCTGCAGCAAAGGTGACCTCTGTCACCTTCTTGCCAGTTACAATTAACATTATTCATCTAAATACAGACCACCGTTCTTCTCCGGTGAGGTGTTAAAAGGGTTTCTGGAGGATCTATTAGTTGGTCAGTGTCTTACAGAAGCTGGTGAGGGAACTATTTTTTCTCAGGATGTATTTCTCTGTACCAGGCAATGGTTATCAGGTTTATCCCAAAGCAATGAGGCCCTGCAGAGGCCAGCTGAAGACTTTGGGAGGAGGAGACAGAACACAGGGACACGGGGCTGGTGGCTCTTGCAATCTGCAGGATGCTGGTCTCTCACCATGCCTTGGCCATGGGGCCTTGTGCAGCTGGTCCCCCTGTCCATGGCCATTGCCAGGAGGATGCCGAAGGCAGCATGGCAGTGGGAAGCAGTTGCTCCTTTAGCTCTAGGAGTCTGGACCAGACAGGAGTAGGGAGGTATTTATGGGCTGACATACAATGTTACAATAGCTGCAGGTTTTTTTTGCAGCAACCTCTTTGTTTCCCTCCGTTCCCTCAGAGTCTGGGGTGAAAGTGGGGCCCGGTAGATGGTGCCAGTGAGCCCAGCAGAAACTAAGCTGGTGGATGTCTTTCAGAGCAAAATTGCTTCTTGAGCCTTAAAAACAGAAAATTGCAGGATGCCCCTTAGACCAGATAAGGCGGGATTGAAATAAACACACACAATTTACAGATAGGGAAGAACAAGCCATTTTCTGAGTCTCCTCTGCATGGACATACTTCCCAGCCCTCCAAGGAACCTCTGGAGGCTGATGGTCTCCATCACCAACTGCTAGGGCCTCAGAGAACGTCGTGCCTTTTCCAGGATTTCTTCTCTGATTTTGGGATAGTCAGGGTACTTCGTGAGGACCTGGGGCAGAGTGATAGGATGTGTAGGAGCAGGCAGGGCCCTTTTAAGGCCCTCCCCAAGTGGCACCCAGTGGCTTACATGGTGGCAGACTTCGATGGCCTCCACGAATCTCTTGCCCTTCAAGTAGTTGAAAGCAAGTTTGAAGCCTGTCCAGGGGCAGGGAGAATACAGGTGGCTGCACGCTGATGACCAGAGAGTCACTCTGGTTCCCACAACAGCCGGAGTGCAGGCCTTGAGTTCTGGGGTCAGGGTGTGGTCCTGCCTGCTCTCTCCATGCCCACGCACACCCCACTGGCTGCCTTACCAATGCCAGGGTTGGCATGATGACTGTACTTCCAGGCCAGCTCGTAGTTGGCAGCTGCATCCACGTAGGACAGCTCCTTCTCCGTGATGAAGCCCATGTACTCGTAGGCCCTATAGCAGGACTGTAAGGAGAGCCGCATCCAGTCCCAGCGCCAGGGGGGACCCGGGGGATGAGATGAGCTGCATCAACCTAAACCACTCAGGGATTCCACAGCATCTCGCACCTTTGCAGGGGTGGCATGTGCACACTCGCTTGCTTACCCCCATGCTGACATAACCCTTGCCCCGCAGCCCTCCTGCTCACACCTGCAAACTCTCCTCATGGGTCCCTGGATATCACAGACCCTCCCCACCTCTCTTCCCCATTCTGTGTTTCCCCCGGAACTGCCCGGCCCTGTGCACCTCCCCTCACCTTGTCCCCTGTGCTCCCCAGCCCCATCTTGCTCTGTGGTCCACATGCCCCTCATGTCCACCTCCTCTCCTCGCGTTCCCACCCTGTGTTGCCCTGCCCAGGAGTCTCAGCCCAGCCCTCCTGGCCTTGCCTTGTTGTAGTGCACACAGCGCCGCAACAGCTCAGACGCAAGGTCAAACTTGCTGCCCTGGCAGTAGATGTCAGCCAGCAGGAGCCAGCCCCTCTCCAGGTCCTCAGCCTCTGCAGGCGCCCATGGGACTTTGGCCAGACGCTTCAACTGTGTGCGTGCCTTGGGGACCTGCTTCAGCAGCATGTAGGCCTGTGCCATGGCCAGCAGGGCGGCGACACAGTCCTTCTGTGCAATGGGAAGCCAGTGTGGGCTTGGGGCCTGGCCCAGCCTTGCCCCACAGCCCCAAACTCGCCCCATCCACGTGCATTCCCCTGCCGTCCCCACCGGCGAGCACCTCAGCCTGTGCCATCTCCACGATTGTGCCTAGCGCCGCCTCCATGCTGGCCTTGTCCTGGGAGGCCAGCAGGCACAGGCTCTGCAGCAGCTGCAGCTGGCTCTGGCCACCCTCTGAGCTCGGGCAGCACTCCCGCAGCAGTTGCTCTGCTGTGCCCACGCCCTGCTGATATGACTCCTTCCTGCAGGTGGAACTGAGGCGGTGGGAGCCAAGCTGCCTGAGTGGTCCTCAGGGGCCTCACCCCCCCACTCCTGTCCTGTCCCTGGGCCAACCCTGCCACACAGCTCCCTGCAACAGGCATGCCCTCACCTGCTCTCAGGCATCAGGTTCTCATGAGCCTTTCCGCCCATGATCTCATTGTCAGGGTTCAGAAAGATCTGCACCATGTAGTAGGTGGCGCTTTGGCCCCAAATGCTGTCCTTGCGTGCTTTGTTCAGGAACTTCACTGCTTCGTTGGGTTGCCCTATGTGCCTGTAGTGGAGGAGAGAAACACCAAGAACCAGACAGGGAAACAGGTCCAGGGGTGCGGCACACGCCAGGGTCATTCCATGAGTCTGCACAGGGCGGGGGCTGGGTTGCTGGTCTTTAGGGGCTCCCTGATCTGGAGCCTCATTTCTGCCTCCCTAGGGTTCCCTGACCAGCCCTCCACACACAGCTGCCCCCATGCTCCCACCTCCAACTCACCAGCAGTAGATGCCTTGGCAGTAGTTGAACCCTGGCTCCAAAACCACACGGCTGGACATCTTCTCGGCCAATTCAAAAAAGGCAGGGGCATCTTCAAGTTTGCCACTTCTTTGTAGCAGATCAATTAGTTTATTCAATACCAAAAAATTGTCTAAAATAAGACAGCAGAAATCTGCAGGCTGTGATAACCGAACTGACAGCTCTGTGTGGTGGGGTGCGGTAGCCTGGCAGGGGGAAGCAGGGGACCAGCAGACACTGCCCATCTGGGCTGAGCAGGGGAGTCCCAGCAGCCCAGTCCCACTGGGTTTCCAGAGAGAACAATGATGGCAGTCATCACAGCAGCGCCAGCAGCTAACATGCACGGGCCTGCCAGTAATGCGCTACATAGTCACTGCACAGAGGGAGGGACTCTTATCATTCTCATTTTACAGATGAGGAAACAGAGAAACAAAGACTTTGTCTACCAAAGGTTGCACCTCTGATAAAGGAAGACCCAAGGCAGGCTCCAGGGCCTCACTCCCAACATCTGGGATCTGCCGGGCCTCCAGCCTGAGCCTCATGTCAGGCCCATTCCCCAGCAAAACCAGCTGGTTTTAGGCTGCGGTGAGGGGCTACATACCAGGGGATAATTCCTAGCTACCTCCAGGTGGCTGTGACCTCAAAAGGAGACTATGTCAAATTCCAGTGGCTGGGATTTGTGAACAGACAGGTTGTCCTGGGTGCCAAGCATGGCCAGCCCTGCCTGAGATCAGGAACTGACCCCGTGGACTTGGGAAGGGTCAGCATGGTCCACCAGGGCTCTATCAGCTTCTTGCCTCTCTGGGAACAACCAGGGAGGAAGGGCCTATCAGAAAGGAGGGGAGAGGGCCCACCCTTATCAGGGAGAGCAGCCCCTGCTCCGTGGGAACCAATGCAGGTGCCTCAGTGGGCAGCTACCTGGGGCTTTCTTCAGGACTTGGTGGCAGAGATCTATGGCAGCTTCGTATTTCTGTCTTCTAAACATTAGGTCAGCCATCACCTACCAGAAACACATGATGCTCTGAATTTCTGAGGGGCGCAAGGAGGGAACAGGGCCTGGTAGAGGCGGCCACAGGAGGGGCCCAGGGGCGGGGGCTGCCCGGGGTGAGGAGCGAGGGAGAGCGAGGACTAGGGGTTGGCACTGTGGGAGCCTTGACGGCCAGCAGAGCCGGCCCCCCAGGATCGTCTGAGAATGGCAGGCTCCAGGTGGCCTACTGGGTGGCCAGAGGTGGTCAGTGACGGGGAGAAGAGGAGGCATGACTGGGAGCCCATCCCACGCTTGCCCTCATGATGGTGGGTGTGGTTTCCCCTGCAGTGAATCAGCCTCCCTGGGGCTGCCCCCTGCTGCCAGCTCCTCCCTCTGTGGGAGGGCAGAGGATCTGCTCTGCTCCCCTGCTTGACAACCCCTGAGGCACCCAGCCACAGGGCCCTTGGGGAGGGCAAGGAGGAGTGGGGCCTCCTACCACAGAGGCAGTCTCGTGGTCCTCGGTCTGCAGGAGGATGGCACACTGCTGCTCGCACAAGTCCAGGCAGCCCTGGAGCAGGTAGAGCTGTGCCAGCTTCAGCACCACCTGGAACCGGAGCAGACAACACTAAGCCAACCAATGCACAGCATGGGAAATGTGGCGACCTGACACTTCCTCTTGTACTCCTGCACTATCAGCTGTGCCTTCAAAATATGGCTGGAACCCCAGGGATAATGCCTCTGGCTCTCTGCTCCTCCCACTGATACCCCAGCCACACCACGTTTTACTAACTACCCTCTAAGAGCTGGGGCCGGGCTCCCCTGTACTCTTCCTCCAGCTTTGGCTCCAAGCCCCCTCCTTGGGAAGCCCTCTCTGCTCCAGACCAGGGCAGGCGGCCTTCTGAGCCCCCGCTGCATACTGACCCACGGCAGGCCTGTGTTCCATGGCATCAGAACTGTATGCACACTCTCTCTCCCTACTTCCCAAGGCCAAATGTGGACAGGGACCACATCCTGCCCCACCAGGTCTCCGGGGCCTGGCACATTAGCCGTCTGTTAATGAGCACACATTACATGAATGAATGCATCTGTCACCAGGCTCCTCATCCACTTTCTCAGCATGAATGCCAGCCACGGTTCCCTCATCTGCAGCCACACCTCCTTGGGAGCTTAACCTGGACTTCACGCCCAGAAGGCCCCTGGCGGCCACATGGTGTCCCCACCCCCAAAAAAACCCTGCAAATGTCAGACTAACATGACTTTCAGCAACATCCCCTCCACTCCACCCTCCACAGAAGGTGTTCAAAGTGCAGCTTCCTGGCCTTGTTCCAAGGGCTGCAGTGGGTGAGGGCCCTGGGGTGCGCTAGACCAGGCTCCCACAGCAGGGGTCCCGAGCCCCTTGGAGGAGGGCAGGTGCAGCTCCTCAGGGAGGCAGAGGGATGGCTTCTGCCCCTCGTCAGGGAGCTCCGCGAGGTGTCATGCCCCGAGAGGAGCAGCAAGACCCACCGTGAGGGACCCCTCCCCACTCTGAGGGCCCCACCTTATTGTCAGTGGGCGAGTAGGAGAGGGCATTCTTATATGACTGCTCCGTCTTGGCATACTCCTTCTCTGCCAGGTACTGCTCCCCACACTGGATGCAGATGGAGGCTGCCAGTTGCTTCTGTGACAGAATCATTTCTGGTTGCTCCAGAGGAACACGTTTCATTATCTTAGACTGGAGGTCCATGGCCTGGGAAACCAGGAAACTCAGATCAGAAGCCGAGCCTGATGTGCTAGGTCTCAGGCCAGTCCAAAAAAGCCCCCAAGCTCCCATTTCAGAGCCAAGCACTAGCTCTTGGGCAGATCTGGGTCCTTATGGACAGGACAGGCTGCTGGCGGAATGCTCAGGAGGCTGCAGGGAGGGGAATAAGCAAAGGTGCTAACAAAACTCTCTTGCACCTTACTTGTTACATCGTCCACCTCACCCTACACCTCCTGCCGCTGATTGGCTCCACAGTCCTATAGGCCACAACAAGCACACAGTGGGCGCTCAGTGCAGGCTGTGTTCTGATGGATGCATTTGTTCTGAATATTGCCCTGCTAGGAATGCGGGGCAGCACCCACAAAAATCCATGATATAAAATGATCAAGTGAGAACCAGAGAGCATCAGGACAAGAGGAACTAATGATGCCAGGGTTCAGTCTAGGGAAGTGGGCACGACTCAGCACTAGGCTCCTTGCAGGCCAGAGAAATGGGAATCTGGTGGGAAACAAAGGGAATAAATCATCTCTGGCAGTCGGAGAGTGGGCTCTCCTATACCATCACAGAATGCACCCCAGGAACACCTTTGGGTAGAAACAGGGAGGAAGAGTCTATAGCAAGACTGGCCAGGAGCTGTCCCGTCAGGAGCAGCCCATGGGGGAAAGCATATGGTGGGGGATGAGTCAGACCTGGTTCTAACCTCAGGGCCACCTCTTACTAACAGCGTGACTTTGGGCACACGCTCGTATCTGTTGAACAGGAAAGTCACAGTGCTTATCCCAAAGGGCTACTGTGAGAACAAGTAAGAAAGCAAAAGCCAAGTACAGAGCCCAGCTCAGTATAATCACTGCACAGAAGCTACTGGCATTGTCCATTACTGCCCCCAGCAGCAGCCTGCAGGTCAAAGGCCCTCACAAGCCCCAGCTTCTTCAGCCCAGCCCCACAGGCTTAGAGCAGGTTGGCGCACCACCACTGGATGGATGCGCAAGGGTGTGGGGATAAAGTGCAGAGGTGGGACCTGCTCGCCTTTTGAGGACCAGGCTTGAAGCCTTTCAGATCTGTGTCCTACCCTTCCTTTTACAGCTCCCATGGAGAAATGACAGAAAGGAGCTTGCGTCCTCTTGTCAATTACCTTGTTCAGAGTTTCCACCACATCTTCCTTTCGCTGGGTCTTGTAAACCTTTGCCAGCAAAAGCAAGCACTTGACATCATTCATCATGGATGGGATGTCTTTGGCTGCAAAATGGAAACTCAAATCAGTGTTCTCTGGCCCCTGGGAAGCTGAGATGGGGATGGAGGGAGCTGGGTTCAGAACCCTGCACCGTGCCAGAGGGAAGACAGCACGGGCTGCTCTAAACGCAGGGTTGTGTCTTAGAGAGTTTCTCACAGAAGTCATGTTCCAGTGCCTGCTTCAAAACCTTTTCTGCTTTGTTGAACTTCTTTAACTTTAGGAGCAGTTCAGCCAGGCTGCAGCACACGAAGTCCTGTCCATTAATCTTCTGGGCAGCCTCATAAAAATTAACCGCCTTGGTGCAAACAGGAAATGTTGGCATCAGGTCTGGTTCTACACGAGTGCGTCATATACCTGGGGCCCCTCCGAATACAGAGACTAAGATGAAAAGGCCCTCCAGGCTGGCACAGGGCTCAAGCCTCACCTGAGCAGGTGTGTTCGGGGGGTGCTGAGCTCTCCCCTCAGCACCCATTCAGCAGGGAGCTGGGGTGGAAACTCAGCCACTCTCCTGCCATCTAGACCCTCCCACCCAGCACTGTCCTCCATCCGTCCGGCTGTGCTGGCCCTCCCCATGCCTTCCCACCCCAGCCCAGCCTGACCTTGGTATAATAGTGGGTCTTCACGTAAGTTTGCCCAAGCCTGAGGACCAGGGATGTGTCATGTGGGTTCTTCCTGTAAGCCTCTTCATAGGCCTTTAGGGCCTTGTCAGGCTGGTGGGGAAAGTGTTCGGGTCTCTCTCTTCTCTTCCACTGGAGAAGTGAGACTTGACAAGGCCGCGAGGTTTTCACTCACCTCCAGAATATTCATGAAAGCATCGCCCAGCAGCAGGCTGGTGTGGGGGCCCGGCAGATGTTCACAGAGCTCCCTGCAAAAGTAACCTAATGCTCATCTCCGACCCGGGCATCCTTCATATTCCTGAATCCATCTCCTCTTCTTTCCAAACACTAATGCTGGCTGGTTTCATTCATTCATCATCCAGTACTTACTGAAAGCTGGCTGCGCATGAGGCACTGTTCTAGCCACCCTCGTTCAGGCTTTCCTGCCCTGTCCTCTGGACCGTGCATGGCCTCCATGCATTAATCTGACCTTCACTCCCAGCCCTCCAGACCCTTCCCCATGAGGCAGAGAGAGCCATCTTGCTCTTTCTAAAATGCCAGCAGGGCCTTGTCACCCACCATTTATTGGTTTCCCACTGCCCAGTGCTTCCCTCCCACCTGATCTGCCTAGATGGACAGGGCAGAGTGCCTCCAAGGTCCCAGTGTCAAACCATAGGCATACCTCACATGGGTCACATTACAGTTATTGGACATTTCCTCAAGGACAGGCAGAGCCCAGGGCCAGGGCACAGGTGCGTTTACAAGGCTCCCATCAGAATGTGTGCCATACGTGGGGTCAAGCAGGAACCAGGGCAGGTTCAGTTCTGTATTGTTTGTGTCCTCACAACTGAACAAGGAGCTGGGCTGGCCGACCTATCATGCTCAAATTCCAACCCATGGGAAACTCCATACTCTCATCAAACACACTCCAAGGACCACTAATCTGGAGAAAAGCCTCCCCAAAACACCTTTGGAGAAGAGGCTGTTGGTATGCAGCCTGGGGCCTACCAGTAGCATCCGATGTAGAGACGGACGTCTTTGTGGGCCTTCAGGTAGATGCTGGCCATCTTCTCTTTGGCTTCCACATAGTAGGGCTGGGTGGGCACGACGTTCCTCAGCAGGCTCAGTGCCACATCCACGTCCCCCTTGCTCAGAGCCAAGTCCACATTGGCGATGGTGACGCGAACCTCCTCTGGTGTGCCCCTGAACTCATTGGTGGCATCTTGCATGACCTTGGTGGCCTCATGCTAAGATATGGGAACCCAACAGACTTTCCACTTACTGTCTCCCACTGCAGGTGGCCTGATGATACTTAAATCCAATTCTAGGCAACTAAAGCAATCCCCCTTCCCACTACTGCTCTGGGAGAGAAATGAGACCTGGAGGTAGCCAGGAGCAGTTCTGCTCCAAGGAAGCCAAGGACATGGGGCCCACATATACCTACAGAGTGGCTTTGGTGGCAGGAAGGAGAGAGCCACTCAGGGTGCATGGCCACTGTTCCTGGAGGGCAGGCAGAAGGTGCCCAGCTCGCTTGGGGTACAGAAACCCCCAACTGTAAGGACCTACCTGGCCCTTACACTTCAAAGCTGCTGGCAGTGCCCTCCTGTGGGAGACCTAGGGATGCACTGCCTTGAAATGCTTTCGGTCAAAGATGTCTTAACATTACGGTACTGGGCACCTATAGGGCTGTTTGCGTTAGAGCTTTGTTGTATATTCGTGCCTTGGCTATTGTAACGAAGATGCTCTCCCTGTCCTTCCTGATGCCTTTTGTCCTGCATTTGCCCTTATCAGATGTTTCTTCCTCATCTGCTTTCTTTTCGTTTGCCTGTATGTCTGTGCCATCTTTTTGCTTTTATTCTGGGCACTTTGGTTTTTGGAGTATAGACAATAAGGGTTCCATTGTTTGTTTGCCTGAATACTGCAAATGTCTTTTTACTGAATAGGTACATTTATGTCATTTACAATATTATTATTACAGATATGTGCTCTTGGGCTTCTGTCAGTTTATTTTGTTTTCATTTTACAGTCTTCATTCTGCCATTAACATGTGGCTTTCCTCCATGACTCTTGATTGATTTGGTGGAAATATCTTTTTCATTCTAATAGCCACCTTTCTATCAAGCAATATTTTGTATAAACTTTCATTTCATACTTTGCCCTATAAAGATGGAAAAATTAGCGTGTTTCTAGTTGCCCCACCTCCCCTTCCCATCTCTCTCCCTGACTTTTTTCATGGGGTAGTGCTGTTTTTTGACTTTAATAACTTTTATTTTCAGGAGCTTAGATAAAAATTACCAGTTATTCAACTGCAATTATATTTAGATTTATTTAGATTAGCTCTATGTTTGACTTAATTCTGTCTGCTTATACCTTAAACTTTTTCCACTTACAAAAACTTCATTTTGCATTTGGTTGTCCAGGTTATAGTTACAAGTGGTTTTCTCAGGGAAGTTTAGCACCATAATTCTTGACTAATTCCATTTTCAGAGTGTCCTTTAATGCTTTCATACATGAAAGACACCCTGAGGAACATCCTTTCCTCCTTAGCACTTTGTAAGCTTTGTTCTAGTGCCTTCCTGAATTTGCTGTTGAGTAAAATTTTGAGGTGCAGCTGACTTTTTCCCCAGTGGGTAATGTGTTCTGCCCAGATGCCATGGGACCTTCCCTGCAGACAGCCCTGGGCTCCCACAGCACCTTAGGGCATCACCGGTAGGGTACTTCTTGTGCTCTGTTATTGCTCTCTCCCCAGCAGGGTGCCCTTCCCACCTGCTGATTCCTGTCCTCCTGGAAGGACTTGCTCTCCTACTGCATCTCCTATGTTTTCTCTGTCCCACTTCTTCTCTGCAGGAACACTGGTTACACCTTTGTTGGAGACCTGTTGTCAGTCTTCCTTACCCATTGCTCTCTCCAATCACCCCAGCCATTCTCCTGGTTCTCTCCCACTTCCTCAGTCCGAGAGCTCTGGCAAGGGTGGGCTACTTCCCACTGTTTCTCATGGGTCCATTTTATACATGGCACCACTGTTTCCCACCCCTTCTTAACTCTGCTAGTGGACTTTTCATCTCGCCCTGTTTATGGGAGCCTCTTCTTGATCCCTTGTGCTCTGCCTTGAGCTGGTTTTGCAAGATTTCATGTTCTTTTTATTTTCATTGAGTGTAGACATTTTTTGAAACAAATATTTTTCATAGTACTCTTTCTCCAAAAGCATAATCTCTACTCATCCTTTTCTTGTTATTTTTTGCTTCCTTTTCTCCCTCTTCTCCCCTTTCTCCCTCCCTCATCACCACCTACAGTTTCAGACGGGAGCCCTCGGATCACTCCTTGCCTGCTGATGGGAACAGCTCCCTCTAACCTTGCCCTTCCCTCAAGAACTAGACTGGAGAGGGGCAGTGCTTGGCACAGCTGCCCTGGGAGCACATATCCCCCCCGCCTTCTGCGGTCCTCCCTCTGAGTGTTGCCTTTGTGAGAAGCTGGGGTCAGGAGGGAACCATTCAGTTCACAGTGAAGGCCACAGCTCACAGACCTGTTCTCTTCGCAAAGCAAGGCACACCACTGATTTTCAGGTTACAGGCTGCCTTACTTTACCCTGGCCCACGTCTCCTCCAAAGGAGTCCATGACAGAGACCCAGGGAGCATCACAGCAGGGCACGCTTGTTCAGCAGCTTGCCTTCCAGAGTGCGGGGCTGGATTTCTCTCAAAATGTCCCTGCTTCTCCTGGCTTGACCACATCCCCAGTTGAGAAAGTTTTGAGCAAATGCAGGAACCTCAGGCCCCCCCACCCTGCCTTCTCTCTCCCACTGACAGCAACTTCTGAAAGGACAGGGACCTTGCTGGCTTGCTCTCCTCTGTCCCAACCATCACAGTGCCTGGCACATAGCAGGCCTTAATCAATAGCTGAAGAAATGACTGTTCTTAGATGTGGCTCTTCCCTAATTTTGTTACAGATGGAGATTCCTTCTCCACTTTTAACTCTTTTCTTCCTTTTGGCAGATTTAAAGGAGGAAATACAAGACCATGCTATTATATTCCCATGTTTTCCCAGAAGGCAATTGTTAACTTCAAGGGGAAAGGCCTCACAGGCTGCTTCCTCCCCTGCGCCAGGGTCAGCACAGAGAGCCAGGTACCCCGGTACTGGTGGGTCACAGAGATGGTCCTGGAGCTCTGCTGACAGACCCCTTCAGAGTGAGCGGTTGAGGCCTGTGTGGCCAGGGGAGCATGTGGAGTCAGCACCAGCCTGGCTCTGCCTCTGTGGGCTTCATGGCTCCTGCGCACCAGCATAGGATGCCCAGGGGCTTCCTGCCTTTGCCCAGCCACATCTTCCAAGGGCCCAGGGTTGCCTCATACAGTTGAGCAGGTTTTACACTGCAAAACTCCAAGGCGACACAGTTCATAAAGATTACATGTGATTGGTATCCACTAGAGCTGTCTATTGCCTGATCTCTGGTGGCCCTGATGGGCCTGTGCGCTCTGCCTCCCTGAGATCTTGGGGGGACAGTGAGGCAGAGGATTCAGTAGGGTTTCCACTTTATCTTGAGGGCAAGGAGCCCCTGAAGCCTTTTAGGCAAGGGAGAGAGATGCTCCCAAATGAGCAAAGGCTCAAGTCAGAGCACAAGTAAACATCAGGCAGAACGAAAGGGCCTGTTTGCCAGGCCTACCCTGGACCTCCAACCTGCTCCAGTCCTAAGGGAAGAGAGTGGAGCCTTCCTTACCAGCTCCCCATTCATCCGGAGGGCATCTGCCAATTCCAGTAAGATAGAAACCCGCTCACTGGGCCACACAGAGGGCCCACGGAACTTCTTGCCTCCTTCCATCTTTAGAGTTGGTAATTTTATGGTCATTTTCAGTGTCTCTATGGCTGCTAGATGATCCCCAGACTTGTTGAGGACCCTGGCCTTGATGAAGTGGTACAGCGGGTGGTCTCGGACCTAGGGGAAAGAGTGTGGGGCTCCATTTCCCCGCAGATGCTGCTCACAGCGCCTGGAGTGCAGAAAGCCACAGGTGCCCACAGAGCCTGCCCCTGCCTGCCTTTGGGCCGGCGGGAGGGTGGCAGGGTACAGTGGCTCCTGAGGCTGCTCTCTCAGGGGCTGGGGGCTGCAGCTCGCTGGCTCCAGGATGCCGAGCAGGTGACACACACAGAGGACTCCCACCTGGAAGTTGTGGCTGATGCCCAGCTCCAAGCAGTGGGAGCACATGGCGAAGTTTCCCTGGGCCAGGTAGATCTGGGCCATGAGGAGGTGGGCATCCACGGAGGTGGGGTCCAGCTCCAGGCAATGCTGCAGGATGCTCTGGGCATTCTCCAACTCTCCTAGAAATAATAGACAAACTTCTACATCCGGGGTCCTCAGAACTCCCTGGGCCCAACACGTAAAGGCAGAAGGAATTTGACACATCCTATTACCCAGAAATACCCAAGTTAGGCATTTCACCCAGTTCCATTCTGTTTCACTCAGGGGTCTCTACCTGAAAATAGAACTACCCAGTTCTGCCTCAACCCAGACAAAAGCCAGGAAACTAAAGCCCGGAGAAACTCCCTTTGGCTCTCTGTAACTCTCAGGGTGTGGCTAAGTCACTCTAGTGCTGCATGTGGAAGCTCAGGGGAACACTTAAGTCTCGATTCCCACACCCAAGCAGAACAAAGCTGGGTAAGAACAGCTGTCAGAGTCACAGCCTGTGCAACACCGGCTCTGTGCCCAACATAGGCAAAGCTCTCAGAACAGCTGGTTGAACATTTGCCCAGCCCCCGGAGGTTGGTCTTAGTGTCCTTGTCTTTTAAGTGTAGGGCTAGAACGCCAGTGGTGTAAGCGAGCGTGCAAGGGACAAAGTCAGCATTTCAATCCTTGGATGGACTCCTGAGGCTGAGCCTTGAATGGCTTGGCACCATGGGGCTGTGAGGCTCTGCGTGGCCAGGCTGGCTCTTGGGGCTGGTGGGGAGCCCTCCTCCCTCTGGAGCCAGGCCCCTCAACATCTGTTGCTCAGGGACTAAAATCTGGTGGGCGGAACACCTGCTTCTGGTCTCAAAGCCCTGCTCCTTCCCTGTGAGCGGCAGAACCAGGTAGATGTCACCATGGTAACCTAAGCAGCCAGAGGCCTTGCTCTGGCCCGAGACCTGCTGGCAGCTGCCAGCACCTCTGGGAAGTGCTCCTGCCCTGCCTTGTGCCCAGGAGCCCAGGGAAGCCTGGCACCCAGATGAGCGCTGGGTGACCAAGGATGGAGATGGGAGCCTCAGCACAGGGCGGCCCACACAGGGCATCCCATGCATCTGGGTTCCCTGGTGGCCCCCAGGACACCAGATCAGCTTGGCTTCAGGTAGATGGGGTGAAAGGCCACAGGGAGAGAGTGCTTCAGAGGGCACAGCAGGGTACCAGGGAGGGCTCTGTTCCCTTTTCCTCTCTCTGGAGATCTGGGCCTTACAATGGGAGAGACTGGAGGCTCTGCACTGGCCATCCTGAGGCCCTGAAGCCTGATGGCACTGGCCTCCCCTTCCCATGAAGCTTCCACTACCTTTAAACTCACAGCCCCACCACCCCAACAGCCCCACCTACACCCCATCCTAGCATACCACCCCTACCCCACCCAACACCCCATATCCCACCCTCCCCATGCCCTATATTCCACCCCACTCACACCCCACCCAACACCCCACCTACACCCCATCCCAACACCCCATAGCACTGTCTGTCCTAACAAGCGCTGCGATGTGTTTCACAGTCCCGCCTCAGTCTACTCCTAGCATGCCAACATGAGGAGTGTTGGCCTGTTCTGAGCTCCACTGCATCCCAGGGTCGGAGCCCTGCCTTGCATGATGAAGTTTGCACCCAGAAGGTGGGTGGGCGAGAGTGCGGCCTAGGGAAGTGGATGGTTTCTGGAGGTTGGAGGCTGGGGCACACGTGGGCGTGTGTAAGGCATCCCTGGCGGGGAGCCCCTGGGGTCTGGGTGGATGAACAGGGCTCACCTGAGAGATACTTGACCTGAGCCATCACATAAAGGGGCTCTGTGAGCGCTGGTGCAGCTTTGACTACAGGATTCAAGATGACGGTGACTTGTTTAAGAAGAGGAGACACGATCTGGCCTGGTGACTGAGGCTGTGGGAACAGGGGTCTGGCTGTGTGGGGGCTGCAGCCCCACAGAGGCTCCTGGGCACTGGGAAAGCCCTGCTTGGGAGGCGCCACGACTCCACTGCACGCACACGCACACCACTGCTCATCCAGGCCGGAGTTCCAGCCCCAGGGGGCTGCCTTTGCTGTGCTTCTGCTGTGCCCTACCTGGAGCTCAATAAATGCTTGTGGACTGACTCACTATAGCCCTGGGGTTTCTGAGCTACATCCTTGCCCTCAAGAAATCTCGCCTGGCCAGGACAGCAGGACAAACAAGTGAAAACGGACATCCTTCTTAGAAAGCTTGGGGAAGAAGGGGGACTGGAACCTCTCTAGGATAAAGGCAGGGGTGTGGGCAGGGCCCTCCAGGTGTGGTTCCTGGACCACCAGCAGGGGTACCACGAGGAGCTTGTCCCAGAGCTCCACCCACCAAGTGGGAATGGCCTCAGGATGCCTCCCAGCTGTTTCTCGCGTGCACGTGTGTTTGTGTGGCGCTGGGCTCCCAACCAACCGGGGCTCCCACCAGCCTGGTGACCGGCCAGGTGCAGTCTCCACCTCTGTCCAAACCTGTACTCCAGACCCCTGCCATGGAGCCGCGCCTCCCCCTCACCTGCTTGGGGCAGAAGAGCAAGTAAGCCCTGGCGATGCAGATCAGGAAGAAGGGGTCGAGCTTTTCCAGGTACTCGGGGCCCAGTGGGAGGCTCTGCACGCCTGAGAAGTGCAGCTCTGCCACCTCCTTCAAGAGCACCAAGGCCTCCTGCTCCCCCTTGTGCTTCCTGGATGCCAGAAGGGCTTGGAGGAAAACCAGCACCTGTGGGAGGCAAGCACAGGTCTGCAACCAAGGGCAGCCAAGCAGTCGGTCATAGATTGGCGAGGACGAAGCACAAATCAGGCCATCTCGGCCGCTCTGTGCTGGGAACCGGGGGGGAAGCGGGGTGGGAGGAAGGTGGGACACGACCCTGGAGCACCCCATGCCCCCAGGGAGCTCTGACCTCAGACTTCCCTAGGGACTGCTGCACCTCCTTCAGGAATTCCAGCTGGTGCTCTGCCTCTTCCAGGTGGCCGTCTAAAATCTGGCACCAAATGATCCCTGGGGCCCAAGAGAACAAGCATGAACAGCAGGCCAAGGAGCATGGGTAAGACAGGGGAAGGATGGGTGTCAGGGCTGGGGACCTTTTCCCAATCATCTTCATAAACTGAAGGAGAGACATGTGCTCCTGGTAAAGCAGCGAGACCATAAGGCAATGCAGCACCTTCACTCTGCTCCAGAGCCGCTGCCTTCAAAGGTTGGGGTGTATTCCTTCCGACATCTTTCTAAGCACCTGCTATTGCTGCGTACAGGTGTCTCCTGTCAGTTCACATAAAGCTACCCCATTCCCTTTAATGACGACACACTGTCCCACTTGTGGATGTAACCATTTATTGTCCATGGAAGGACATTTCATTTCGCATCAGGTTTGTTTTCAGTGTTTAACTACTACAGAGCCATGGTGAACATTTTTGTATGTTCTAATTCCTGAAGTAAAGATGATAGGTCACAGGGCATGCATCTAAAATATTGATAGATAAGGCCAACTCATCCTTCAATGAATTCTGAACTAATACTACAGCCGGGAATTTGAATGTGGCCTTTCCCCACACCCTTTGGACATGCTTTACTCTTTGTCAGTCTAAAAGGTGAACAGCAACTCATTTTAATGCACATTTTTTCATTATTAGGGAAAGTGAACATCTTTTAATATATCTAATGACCTTTTCATTTCTACTATAAGTTTTCTATTCATAGTTTCTGCCTGTTTTTCTTTTAGGGTAATTTTCTTTTCCTTTTTATATTTAAGACTATTAACACTTTGTAGTGAACATTTTCTTTACTTTGCCATTTACCTTTCAACTATTTTTACAATATCTTTTGCCATCCATTAGTTTACATTTGTACATAGTCAAATCAGCAAGGTATTTTCCTTTACAGCTTCTAAGTTTGGTCATGCTTAGAATTAGAATCCCCCAGGAAACCCAAATCTAATTTACTTTTGAGTAAAGTAGTAAGATAGAGACTTGCCTTTATCCTTTTATAATGGATAGCCAGTGTCCACCCATGAGTTGCTGAAACTCTTGTTGGTTTGAAAGGTCGTCTTTGTCATAAGGCCTGTTTCTGTCCCGCTGATCTATTTGTTGATCCCAGGGTTGGCCTCAAGATGACTTAACTACTGTTGTTTTGTGATGTTTTGCATTTGAGAGGACAAACCCCTTCTGTTCCTACTTTTGGAGGTATTTCTTGGCCCTTCTGGTGTATTTATTCTTGACTGTCTTCCTAATCATCACTTTGGTTTTCAATTGTATCTGTCTTGCTATTTGGCTCATCTATGGAATTTTTAATTTGCAGTCATATTTTTACTTTTCAGCCCCTCTTTTTTGTTCTCTACACCTTTTACCACAGTATCACGGCCTTTAATTTTTGACCCAATAGCCTCTGCACACACCAGAGGTGCTTCAGTGGGAAGCACATCTTTTCTATATCTGGCCTTTACTTTGCTCTTCAGAGCCACAGCTTTGCATGTCCCACTTGGCCCCTCTTTCAGACTGCGAGCAGATTTACAGACGGACCGGACCGAGGAGTACTGGCAGCTGGGGCAGATTCCCCTAAAAGCTAAGGTCACTGGTTTTCCCAGACCATCCAGGTAAGATGGTGACTCCAGGACACACGCTTGAGCGGGCCTGGCCTGGGCAGGAGCCTGTGGGACAGACATTCTGGCCCGTGGACTTGCCTTTAGGCTGACCAGCTGGGGCTCTCCCTTGAATGAGGAAGTGGGGCAGGCCTCAGCCTGGTGGAGGACCATTTTAGGGGATTTTGCCTACATGCCGAGCAGCTGGATCTTTTTGTCCTGCTTGTCCCTGGTGGGGGTGGGAAGTCATGGGCATTCTGCTCTGCTCCCTCCTGCCCCACTGCCCCTAAGAGCCTCCTTGATTCCATTCCTGGTTATCAAAAATCTCCTTGCTATCTCACTGACTGCCCCTTGGCATGTTGTGCTTCCAGTCTCTGGTGACCCTGAGCTTGTGTTTTCATTTTTTTTTTTTCTGGGGAAAGCTGTTCTACTCATTTCTTTAGCTGACCCATTTCTGCCTATGTCGGCTTCTAGGGCTGCATTATCATGTAAAGTATTGTGCATTATTTTCATGGGATTTGGGGATGGAAGAAGAGATATGGGCTGAGGAGCTAGCCTGACATGTTGAATCAGAAATTGAAACTAAATGCTCTGACTACTGCACTACACAGATGAGGACCCTCAGGGCAGAGAAGTGACCTGCCCAAAAAGGCAGCCCCCAGAGCCAGCGCAGGAAGCTGGCTGCCTGGAGCACTGGGCCATACAGCTTCCTCAACCCAAACTAAACTGTTGGCTCAGAATTCACCAGACAGCACAGAGTTTTGTGCATCTAAAAAATGTGTACAATGAAAATTGGGCTCTGGAAAATTCATCTGACCTTTCCACAAAGGTGAGGGGGCAGCATCTGGACAGACAGGGAAGTAAAACTGTCAGAACTAGTCGCTCAACCTTTCAGCTCAGGGGCCACGGAGGTGAGGCCAAAGGCTGGGGCAGGACTATGCCTGGGCAGGACTCTCTCCCAGTGCTGGCCTTGTAAGACCTGAGAAGAGGCAGGGCTGGCTGAACACAAAGGGCAGGCTGTCGGTCTTCTGGGGGGTCAGAAGTAAATCAGAGTGGCTGTGATCACCCATCAGAGCCTCTTATATATATACTTGCAGTTTCATGGAAAGGCACCCCGTCATACAGTGCATCCCCCAACTCCCACACCCTCTTGGGGGAGTGTTTTCCAGCCCTTCTCCTCTGGAAACCATGAAGGCTACCCCATGCTCACATCCCCTGCCCTGCCCTGCCCAGCCTGCACAGACCTGTTGAGGCGGCCACACTGCTCTCATCCAGCTTTATGGCCTCTGAGTACCAGAGAGACGCCTCCTTCACCTGGTCCTGCAGGATGAAGAGATAGCCGAGCTCTGTGGCCACATGGGCATAGGAGGGCGTGGCCATGAAGGTGCGCTCCATGAAGCTACACACCAGCTGTAGAACCGCCTGGTGCCTCCCACACTGCAAGGAATGGGCACACAGGAAGTGGGAGACCAGTCAGTCCCCCACGTCATGTTGTAGCACAGTACCACCAGAAAGGGGGGACCTGGTGGCAGGCCTGGGGACTTAGCAGAGCCAAGAGGTGCCGTGTCCAGGCAGCTGGGTCTGTATAGCTGTCCAGCTCCCAGAGAACATCCCACTGGCCACATCTGTGGAACCGCCTCACAGAGGTGAGGGCCTTTCTAGGGACCAACCCATCTGGCCACAGTAATTGATCCAACGAGTCACCATGAGTTTTTCAGAAACTGGAGCTGGGTGAGAGAAGCTTTATGTCCCCTGATGGGAGGGGCCCTGAAGGTTGTGAGCAGCTCCTGGCCGTGTGGAGAACAAGGCAGAGAAAATCAGGTAAAGAACAGTGTGGGAAAGATGGTGCTCTGGCACTGGACCCTGCAGCTGTGGTCCTGAGCTCAGTGTTTTTAGTAAACCTCGCTTTCCTGGCTGAAGGTCAGACAGACAGATTGGCCCTCTGGTCAGTTTGCCTTATGTTTCCAGGTCATGGGAACTGGGCACCCCCCTAACCTGGGCCAGAGCTGGAGGTGACCCGGCACCACCCTCTTTCCCCAGCAGGGCATCCCCACTCTAAAAGCACACCCAGATCACATCTCCTGATCACCTGACATCTGTGAGGGGCACTTGCGCCAAGGAATCCAAGCCCATGTGACACAGTCATTGGCCAGAGGCAGGTAGGGTCCACAGGTCATGGGCCACCAGCCTGAGAGGCCACATTTGGGCCAGAGAGGGGTGGGGCAGGGTGCTCAGGGACCTTCCAGGGGTACCACGGGGCTTCCCTCAGGAAATCAGGGAGGAGCATGAGTTCAGAACCCTGGAAATACCCTTCTTACCAGTCTGCTAATCACGAGAATTTTTTTAAGATGGAGGCATGCATTTTGGGGCTCTCTTGTCTCTAGTGCCTTAATCAGGTTTCTAACACGGTTGGCAGCCTGCAGGGACAAAACAGATGTCAAATGCAGTATGTACTACAGGAGTTGGGGAGAGGTTCTGGACCCTGGTTGCACAGTAGCATCAGCAGGAAGATTGTCAAAATACCTGTGCCCAGGAGCCAGCCCCGGAGGTAAATGGACCTGGGTGGGCCCAGGCATCAGTATTATTTTAGGGCCCCTAGGTGGAGCCTTTGGGAACATTATTCAGCCAAGAGCTGGCACTGCCCATTTGTTCATGAGTCTGTGCTGAGAAGCTGCCTTTCAGACCCACTGAGACAAAGCCAGGAGCCAGCTGTCCCTGTGTTCATACTGCAGCCCACCAGGCTGGCAGCACACCACCCGGCTGGCAGAGCAGGTGGTCAGGGCGAGTATCTGGCCCTTAGCCTCTGCTCCATGCTGATGAGTTACCAAATTGGTACCTCTATCATTCCTGTGATTCTTCCCACCTGCCCTTTAAGGAAGGCAGTGTCACTGTCCAGTCCAGCACAAGAAGGGCCAGAATTTGTCTGAGGTTAGCAGCCAACTAGGTGACTCGAAAGCCTACATTCTTCTGATTGCCTCCTCTGCCTACTGCCTGCCTAGGAGTGGGGAGTTCTGGTTCCCAGTTGCACAGAAGTGTGGGAAGAGAGACCTGGATGAGGTGGGTCTGCCCTGCTCAGCAAGTGGGAGATCAGAATTGGGCAGCCTAGGCATGGGGTAAACCCCAGGTGTGAGGTGGGGTGAAAGACAGGCATTAAATGCTACCTCTGCCCTTGGGTAAGGCCCCAGAGATGGCGCTGGGGCCCTTTCCAGGATTCCTCCCGAATATGGACTGTCTTCTTTGCCTCACCCACAAAGCCCATAGTCTCAGAGCTGCAAGGAAGGAACCAGAAGCTTCCTCTTCCCACCATGACACCTTAGAAACTCTTGAGGGTTTTCGTTAAGAATTCTAGGTGTTTTTGACTGTGTTGGAGAGCTATTTTGGGCTTCTTTGTAAAACTGTTAGTTCTAGGAGCAAGTTTGGGGTGAGGTACTGCCTGGCTGATGCCTGAGTGATTCCAACCATCCCCCCAAAACAGTGGCATTTTGTGAAATGTGAAACACAACCAAGCCCTCCATCAGTTAACTTGATGGAATTATTCTAGTGCACCAGGCACTATTCCAAGTTCTCCCATATGTCATCTCATTTAGTGCTGGTAACAACCTCACAAGCTGGGTGGAATTATCTCCAACTTGTAAATGAGGATCCCAGAGGGTTATCCAGGTGTAGACACCTGCCCAGGCTCACAGGTAACACATGGCAGAACCAGAGTCACCTTATGGCCCGTGTTTGGAACTGTATGGCCCAAGGACCAAACCAGGGCAGACCTGCTGGGCAGGGCATTGGGAGGTGAGAATGGGGGGATGGAGCTGAGATCTGGGCAATGCCCTCCAAGGTCATGGGGATGTGGGCACTCTGAGGGGTTCCTCCGTGGCTGTGTTTGTTTCAAGGCTCAACTTCTGAATCTTGAAAGGACTTACTGTGGTCATGTTCCCTTCTCTTGCAAGCTCATGCACAGCTAGAATTTGGCAGGCATCAATATTGCTTTCGTCTTTTTCTAGGATTCTGAAACAGGAAGAGGAGCCACATGAAGTGAGTGTCTCTAGGCAAGGCTAGGATGGTGTGGCGGCAACTTCTGATTGTCTTCTAATATCCATACCCCTCTTCTCCTTTGATAATAGAGCTCCCAAATTGGCTGGGCGCATGGTTACCCAGAGTAAAGACCACATTTCCCAGCACCCTCTGCAGCTTAGGCTTAGCCGGGTGATCAGGTCCTGGCCCAAAGGATGTGAGGAACATTGCCCAGTGTGACATGTGGCGGTGCCCTCCTTTTCTTCTCTTGTCCCCTCCTGCTGTCTGGCATGTGGACCGTGTGAATGGCATCCTAGAAATGGGACAGCAGCAAGAGAGCGACCTGGGACCTACAGAGCTAAATTGCCATCCCAGCCCTGGGCCACCACCCAAATGTCAATGAGAGAGGGATAACCCTTATATGTTATTTAAGTCGTGTATTTGGGGCATCTTTGTGACACTAGCCTAGCTGGTCCCATGTAACACAGACATGGTCATGTATCAGGGCCTGGAGGTTACCAGAGGCATGTGGTATTGTGAGGTTCTATGGCTGGAAGATGGAAAGGGACCTTGGTTTCCATCGCATGTCACTGCAGCGATGCAGTTTCTGGTCCTACCGTGTGTTTTTAAGTATTCTGTTTCTTTATAGGAAGTTTCAGGTTTTTCAGCCTTGCCAGGGAATGGACTTCTGTGTAAAGGAAGGTTACTCTAATACACAAAACCCCACCATGATTACATTCAGCCAACATTCAGAGTTCTGACCATTTACGGTGACTCTGAAAGTACCGTGTACTAAGTATGTTTGGATATTGAAAGAAAAAATTTTTTAAATAATTTGTGGACTGAAGAAAAATCAAAATGAATATTAGAAAATTCATAGAACCAAACAATACTGGACATGCTATCCACCCGGAAATGTAAATACTGGTCGAACAGTACTAAGGGGCATTACGACTTAAAGGCTTATATTCTAATAGCAGATGGAGAATGGATGAGCCCTGCAGCTAACTGAAGAGCTGGAAAAACAAGAGAATAACTAAAGGAAGTGGCCGGCAGGAGATACTAAAGTTAAGAGCAGAAGTGAATAAATTAGAAAACAAAGCTCCAACAGAAAGCGTCAATAAGACTCAAAGCTGGTAACAAAGACACAAATCTGGAGAGAACAGATTCAGAAAACAGTGGAAGAATACTACCAAGGCCCCTAGCTGGGTGGGCTCCTTGAGGGAAGGTGTGGGCCTTGAGGGAAGGTGTGGGGTGTTGGTCTCTACCCGCTGGCAACAAACTGTCTCCCTGCCCGCGGGGGCAGAGGGCCTGGGCATGGGGGCTGCATGCCTATGGTGGGGGCCTCCAGAAGTCTGCTGGCCTGGGGCTGAGCCTCCAGGTGTCAGCTAGGGGAGAGGGGTCCAGGCCCACACAGGCAGAGCCCACCTACAGGCTGAGCAGGGTGGAGCCACCTTCTGTTTACCACCAGTCCCCCCACTGAGACTCAGATTCCCCATCCTCAGAGGAGATATCATCAGGCGAAAGGAAGAAGTTGGTGTTTTGTTCAGAATTGTGCTGTACGTTTCCTTACAATCTAATAATACCGAGAGGACTCGTGGTCATTCAGAAAAAAGCGTCCATTAACTTTTTAGGGAGAAAATTAGCACTGTCCATTTTAGAATTACTTGATCAAAATAGTTAAAGCATTAGAGTTTAAAGAGATAAGCTTCAGTTACCTAGAAAACTCCATCCTCAAAAAAGCTTCTCTCAAAACATGATTCCCCCTGAAGTCCTCTATTTCTGTTCACAGGAAAATGCTTCAAGATCAGCCTGCCCTTGGAGCCTGCTGATGCCCCCAGTCTTAGACTACAAGCCTTCTCTCGGACAGTGACCTGTTTCCTCCTCTAGTCAAGCACATGGTACCCATAGTTCTAAAAAGTTTAATACCCCAGCCCTAGCCCGCTCTTCTCTCTCTCTCCCCAACCCCCACTCCTCAGAGGGCCACTCCTGCCCCCCAACCCCCAATAGCTCTTGCTGTTCTGGGGGCTCAGGAGCCCCTCCACCTCTTGGATCCCTCAGGTAGGCCTATTTCTTGGCTTTCTGTAGCAGGCCGTGACAGGTGCACAGGCTGGCATCAGCCCCCAGGTAGCTATGTCTTCATAGCTCCTCTACTGACATTTCCTTCTTGTCCTGTTCCATCCAGTGCCCACAGTCTCCTATCTCCCCACCTACCAAGGTGGACACAGAGCAGCACCCCTGGCTGGCCAAGGAGGACAGGACCATGCACCGATGTGGGGCAATCCCCCCTCACCTGTGTCCTATTTCTACCGTCTGCTCCCAGTCCTGCCGAGCCAAGAACAGCCGCATCTTTAAGACCAGGGCGGGCACGAAGCTCCTTGAGACAACAGCGATGTGGTTCACCACCTCCAGAGCGCCTGAGTAGTTCTGCTGCATCATCAGGTAGGTTGCCTGCCAAAAGCCCACAGGCAGAGCCTCCGCCAGTGCCCACAGGGGCCAGTGGGGGAGTCAGTGCCTCCAACAGGACAGGATGGGAGACTGGCACAAGGGCCCCAGGGCACCGAGCTGGGCCCTGGGTAAGGAGTCATCACAGGGCCAAGCACAGCCACCCCGGGCTCCTGGACAGGACAGGCAGGGGCTTCAGGGAAGCAGGTGAGCCCTGGGCAGCCTGGGACAGAGTAGGCCAGGGGGGCTGCCAGTGCAGAACTGGGCACTTGGAGAGCTGGATACGTTCCAGTTTCATAGGTGGCCCATTCTCTGCCAAGGCCCAAAGGGCTGGGGTTATGGCCTCTGCAGGACAGTGCCAGCCACCAGGTTTTCCTGGGTGAGTTATGGCATAGGGGCCTGAGGGACAGGGTAATACTCCTGAAAGACTTGCCCCTAAAAAAACTGCAAAACACTGAAAAGACGGTTTCTTTTACACCTAAGGTAAGCCTCCATTTGTGAGACAGGAAAACCAGAGGAGGGTTATGCTGAGTAAAGATTTCTGCGAAACCATGTTCACTGCAGCACACGTTCTAAGCGCACTGCCAGGAACACTCTCAATATCCAAAAAATAGGAGAGTGGGTCGGCAGATTGCTATAGGCCCATACAACAGGGGATTGGCTTTATGTAGACGTCCAAAATGACGTTTGCTTATTACAAAATCTTAAATGAAGAAAAAGAAACGAAAGGATCAGGTGCTATGTGATTACAACGGTCTTAACAGTGCTCTCTGCCACTCTGCAGAGGGCGTTGGCAGCTGACGGCTCTCAGGGAAGCCTCCCTCTTGGGTCCCGGGGCTGGAGCGAGATGCCTGGGCCAGGCTGCACTGTCCCAGGGCACCTCCACCTAGCGGCCTGTGGGTGGGGGCGGAGAAGGGCTGGCCCAGCCTGCAGGCCTCAAGCAGGCACGGAGCCCTTTGCAGAGCCGCATCTCCACCAGGCTCCTCTCCTCCTCTTGGGTGCTCTCCCAGAGGCCTCCTGAGCCATCATCCCCGAGGCTTCTGCTTCCGGAAGGCCATCCCAAGGCACATCCTGGTCCCATGCACAGAAAATAGACGGGAGACACTGACCTAGAGCGCTGACAGCAGCTGTCTGGAGGGGGAGGGCTAAGGATGTTGTCTTAATTCATCCTTAAGAAATTTCAGACTTGTATTTTCAACGAGTGCATATTGATTTTATAAGAAAGATATATACAAACAGAAAGAGGAGGAGGATATTTTTTCTCATAGATTACCTCAATGTATGTCACAAAAGAAGAAAGGAACTTATAGGGGGGGACTCGATAATAAGGGTGAATGTAATGACCACATGTTTTTCTTGTGAAACCTTCAGAAGAGTGTGTATCAATGATATCTTCATTAAAAAAAAGGAACTTAAGTTAAGAAAATACAAAACATATACCGTGCCCACCTCCTCTCACTGAGTGAATTAACAGGTGGGAAGAGAACGTGAAAGACGTAGAGGAGAGGGACCAAGAGGCCACAAGAGCCAGGGGACAGGGCCCACGACAAGAGCCTGAACTGCCCAGGGGGCTCCGTGGGGCAGGGCTGGTGTGACCCTGACCCCTCCCGGCCCTGCTCCTCACCGGCCAGGCCAGGGGCCTGGGGACTAGGTCTGGCCTGAGGGCCCCTGATGGTCTCTGGCCCCAGAGGCCCAGTCAAGACACCCTTGCCCACCTTTCCCATGAGCCCCAGCACATCCTGGGTGTCCTGAATCCCTTGCTCCAGGTACTTGATAGATTTCTTCACGGTGTGGGGGTCGTCAGAAGTGAGGTCCACCCAGCCTCGGAGCACACAGCCCTGGTGAGAACAAGAGAGTGGCGAGCCCTTGGGCCTGCCGGCTGAGAGCCTGCCCCTCCTGCCGCATGTCCCAGGCGTCCCAAGCCCACCAGACCCGGGCGGCCCTGCTCTCACGGTCAGGCACACGCACCTCCCACTCCTTTGCCTGGAATGCCCTTCCCAGCCCGCACCCCCCAGCCAAGTCCCTTTCCCTGAGTAACTACCAGTGGCCTTGACAACTCAGCCAACGAGGCCCCTCCTATAGGAAGCCTTCCATGCCCTTCCAGGCTAGGTTGGGCCTTCCCATGACCCCTCAGCTTGCTTTCCCCTCTGAGCTGCTCCCGCCTGTCTTTTCACAGCCTGTTGGCTCCAGGGTCAGGAGGCCTGCATGGGCCCCTGTGGGCCGCTCTGCTCTCTCCACATTGCAGCCCAGCCCAGGCCTGGCCTGTACGGGAGCAGCAGCTATCTGAGCTCACTGGCTTTGTGGGCTCCACCCCAGCCTTTGCCCAGGCTGCTTAGCAAATAGCAGGTCTGGCGCAGGAGGGGAGCTTGAGAGGCACTGAGGAGACCCTGCCCTGCAGCGGCCTTCACTAGAGTGGGATTTCTCAACTCTTTCCCTCATTGCCCTCCTAAGGGGCCCCTAGATATTTTCCCCTAACCTTTCTCTCCCCATCCATGAAACGTTACCATCACAGATAAACTATGTACTGAATGTAAAACTGTATTTTACCTATAAACAGTAAGGTGTTTTCACCCCCTCCTGCAAAAACCCATTTTTACCCCCTTGAGGGGTAATACCACCCCCACTGAGGTGGTGGGTAGACCAGCCTAGATGGAGGCTCCCTATTCTACCACTAGTACAGATACGGCCTGTGGGAGATCCACTGACACCCAGCACATCACTGCCAGGAGGGAATGCAGGCCCAGTGTGACCAGCTCATCTCGTTTTTCCAAAGAATCAGCAATTCTGGACTTCTAAGTAAGAACTGTCTGACTTCTGAATACCAGCAACTAAGTCACAGTTTTAAAAATATGTAACATGGGCCACAGACTAGACTCAGTGGACACAGGCAGCGTGTACTCGACTGGGGCTTGGGACTGCAGCAGGAGCTCCTGTGAGGCCCGGGTCCTGCCTGGGCCTGGGTGTGGCCTCTCCCAGTCCCAGGCTTCTGGGGCAGGGAGGGCCGGGTCCTGGGGCCGCCCTGCTGAGAGGTGCCTGCCCGGGGCGGGCACCTCTCTGGAGCTGCTGGAGGCCTTCAGGGTGCGGCTGATGTACTCCTTGGCCTTGACTTGCTGGCCCGTGAGCCAGAGGAAGAGGCTGGCATAGTACAGGGCAGTCCCGCTGGCTGTCTGGCGCATTTCCTTCAGGCTGCTCTTGAGCACCTGCACTGCTTCTTGGTCTGTGGATCCAAGTGAAGAAAGAAGACGAGTCAGGAGGAGGAGGTCTGCCTGGTTCTGTGGGAGGCACTGAGGGCCAGGGAGCGGCCTCTGGACACCCTGGGCCTGCTCAACACACTGAGCTCACCACACGCCGGGGCAGGGCCTGGAAACCAGCAAATCCGGTCCCTGCAAGGCCACAGCAGCTGCCTGGGCCTGGACTGGGGTTGCTGTCTGAGATTTATCTTTTCTCCTCTGCCCAGTAGTTTGCTGAGCAAAAAGACCAAATCTGAATACCCATACTCAGTCTGCAATCCATTCTGGGTGGGGAAATAGCAGTTTATAGTCTCTTGGAGATCAGGGGTAGAATTATTTATATTGACTAGATTATTCTTGGCAAAATCTTGGCCAAGGAAAGCAGGTGTCACCCAACTCTTGGAATCTGGGGGAGGAGCCCTTCCACTGTCGCGTTCTCAGCCCGTGGCTCCTACTCGGTTGGACTGGGCGTGGATCTTCTCTGAGGCCTTTCGGGGAGGGAGCAACAGCCACTCCTCACCAGCCCACAGCAGCTGGGGCCAGGGGCGTACATCCCCGAGGGGCTGTGTCTCTGCTGCCAGCCGCACTCACCGATGGCTTCACAGTGCTTGTGAGCATAAATGAGGGCCATGGTGGAGCACAGGGACACGTCTGGGTGACTTCGGATTCTCTCCAGGCTGCTGATGGCATCCTGGATGCACTCTGTAAAGAAAGCCCATGTGGTTATGCTCCTGGGCTCCAGGCCTTTACAGGGCTGAGTCTTTATAGGGCTGAGCCAAGGCTTGGTCCCATGCAAAAGGTCCCCAGTGGCCCATTTTCCTGAAGACTGAAGCTCTCAGAAGGGGCCACTGGCACTGTGAGTCAACTGCCAGGGGCTGAAGGGCTTAGAGCTGAGACACACACCTGTGTGGACTCACTGGGGTACCTGTGAGGCCAGGACCTTTGACTGGGGGTCAGTTCTGAAGAAGGACCTTAGGGCACTCCCAGCTGGCTGCTCAGTAGCCACTGTTTTCATTTGTCCCTCCATGTCCTCTGATGTTGGCCATGGGCAGCTCAGCCAGACCCCAGCCCAGGACCACCTTCTGAATGTCCTTGGTCAGCACCCACTTGGGCCCCACCCCTCTCTGCCCTTGTACTTTACCCAACCCCTGCCACTTCCTCCTTTTCCTTCACAACTGGTTCTCAGCTCCCAAGCCTGGGACTCACTCAATACCATGTAGTCGTCTCTTCTTCTGCTCATTTTGCAGATAGGGAGACTGAGGTGTGGAGAAGGGGCAATGAACTTTCTGAAGTCTCAAAAGTCAGCTGGAGATGGAGTACCCGTTCTGTGGATTGACCTGGGAATCTGGCTACTGCTAGCAAGACTGCTTCTGTGAGGACAGAACTAGGGTCTAAAGAGGCATCCAGGCAGAGCCCAGGGTGCTGCATCTGCGTTAGGAGGCTAGCACTGACGTGTCCTTACCTTCCCTGAGGACTCCGTAGGCTTTAAAGAACTGCAGCACAGGGTCGTTACTGAATTTTTCCAGGCCCACAGCAGCAGCCTGCTGTAACTGGTGGAAGTACTTTTCCTGGCTGTAGTAAACAATCCCAGCCTGTGTGGAGGAACACACAGTTGTAGGGCTGCAGGCCCTTCTCTGTCTCTGTTCGGACCGCCCCCCGTTCCCTGCTCCTCCTCAGAACTACAAAGCAGAGGGAAGGAGAGCATCCAGGCTTCACCCTGTTCACCAGCCCCCAAGAGGCTCCCTGCAGTCTCTCTGGGAAGGAGTTTGGAAGTGTTTGTTTTGGAAATATCCACAGATTCTGGTTCAGACGTGGTGGAGAATTCCACCCAGACATGGTCTTCATTAGGAAATGAGGGGAAGGAGAGGTGCAGTAACAAGAGCATCGCGCCCACAGTTAGGGCGACAGGTTACTGTGGGCTAACCGTCAGCTGGGAGCCGCTGTCAGGCTCTGCATCCTTTATCTTACGCATCATCTCTGCATATCCTCCAGGTATGGAAGCTGGAGCCCTTGAGGACTGTGGCCTGATAAGGTCACACAGCCATAGGGCTGAGATTTCAAAGCCAAGTCTCACTTCCCCTAAGGGTTGTGGGTGCTGGTGCTGGGGGTAGATGTGGTCGGGTCGCATGCAGCCTTTTGGGCCATGTGGAAGGGCATAGGCATCATCCTGAGGACAAGAAGCTGAGGAATCGTTTTAAGAAGGGAGACGGTTGTGTTCAGATGCTGGGATTGAGGGGTGGAAGGGCCAGCGGGGTAGGAGCTTGGGGCCGGGGGCGGCGGCAAGCGGGGTCGGGACATCCTGGGGCGGCCGGGCGGCGGGTCTAGAGGTCGGGGGCTGGCCGGGCAATGGGGCAGGAGGTCGGAGGGCAGTGGGGCTGCTGGACTGGGTTCGGAGCCCTTCGGCAGCGGGGTTGGTCGGTCTGGCGGCACTAAGGCGGGGTTCGGGGCCGGAGGGGAGGCGGGTCGGGGGACGGGTTGGGGGTCGGGGCCGACGCGGTGGCGCGGGAGCCTACGCACTATGAGGCAGGAGGTGCTGTCACTCATGTCGGGGTCCGGGGCTCGTAGTCCAAGATCGGGGGCGCTGCGCGGCGTTGGTTCCAAGGCTGGGTACCGTGGGCCTCCCGCGCCGGAAGTGGAGGCGCGCGCGTCCTAGGAAACGGCGGGGGCCGGTTGCTAGGGCGGCGGCGCTGGTGCGGGACGGCGGCGGCCACGTGACGAGGCGCGGCAGTCGAGCGCCGAGCGGGGTAAACGCTTTGGGCTGGAGCGGCGCTGCCAAGGGCCTGGGCGCCATCGCCGAGAGGCCCGCGGGCGGCGCCGAGGGCTTCCACCTGTACGGGGTGAGCGGTCCGCGAGCCAGGGCCGGGGCCGGGCCGGGGGCGGTGGCAGTGGCAGGGTGGGGCCTCCTTCCCGTGGGTCGCCCGCCCCGAGCCGAAGCGGGAGCCGGAGCGTCCAAGGCTGTCGCTTTTTGCGAGGGCAGATTGGTCCGCGGCGACTGGGTGGACCTGGGGTCAGAGCGACCCGGGGTCGGGGTGACGGGTGGACTGGGCCGGGGTGATTGGGTGGACTGGGAAACGTGGTGACCAGATGGACTCTGGCTGTAGGGGAGCCCGCCTTGCACTCCGCCTGTAGTGCAGTGGGAAAGGCTTCAGGGGTCAGGGTTGGAGAACAAGTTGGAACCAGCTAGAAAGTGTGGGAACATTGGAAGCAGGGGAGGCCCCTGGTGGAACAGTGCAGAAGGCGCGGTGAGGTCCCCTCCGTGTCACAAGGAGGTCTGCATAAGCGGTCTGGGAAAGTGGGGTTCCTAGAGTATGAAGGTGAGGAGGAGCCCACAGCCAGTGGAGGTGTCGGATGGAGAGTCATACTGGGGGAAGGCGGCTGTAACTTCAGTGAGAAGGACCAGAGGGGGTCTGCCCTAGAGCGCCCCGGGGAAAGACCCCTCCTCTCTTGTGCCTAGCCAATGGCTGCTGGGACCCATATAGGCAGTCAGGTTATTTGGGGCCTGGCTTTTGAGTGCCCTGTACTGTGATTGGAGGCTGTCATCAACTATGAAGAGGTCTAAAGGGGAGTTTCCTGGAAGGAAAGAGCTGGACAAGGCCCAGAGTTGGCAGAAATTGTGCTTGGAGGTGGACATTCTCTAGTGGACGTTATGGTGAGACATCGGACAGAAGAGGTAGACGGTGGAATGCATCCAGCCAGGAGAGTCTTCCAACAGGCTTGATGGAAGAAAGAGGAATTGAGGGTACTGGCAGGAGCAAGGGGGGAGCGGTGGTGGCAGGGGAGACAGGGGCCTGCTGGAGAGGGACCACCAGAGATCAGGGTCCGGAGGTCCTCAGTCATGAAAACAAGCCTGTGCTCTGTGCCAGGCAGAGTTCCAGCAGGACACACATCACCCTTTTCCCTGGTGGAGCTGATGTTTGGATGTCAGCAGGCGGAGAAGGGTGACACAATGTAAGGGGGGTAGGTGGCAATAACTGCTATGGAGAATGCAAAGCAGGGCAAGGGGTACAGAGTGACCAGTGGCTGCTACTTTGGATAGAGGGGTCAGGAAAGGCCGCTGACCAAGGAGCATTTGCACGCACCTCAGGGAAGTGCAGAGCCCCGCACAGGCGGTACATTTGGAAGAAGAGCACCTTGGGCTGGGTTTGTGCGTGTTGTGTTTGAGGCCAGGCCAGGAGGCGAGGCTGGTATGCATGGAGGGGTGGCTGGTCTGAGGAGGAGAGCAGGGAAGAGTGAGGCCGGCTGTGTTGTCTGATGATTTGGGCCTTATTCTGAGATCAGAGCTGTGGGGGTTTAATTGGAGGTGTGACTCTAGCTACTTGCATTTTTAAAAACTGAAGGGCAAGTGTGCCTCCTTCTGTGAGCACTGGCGTCCCCGTGAGGCATGCCCGCTGTGAAGTCCTGCCCTCACGAGCCTGGAGCCATGGACTTCCCAGGAAATGGCTGCTGCAGGGCATGAGGGGGAGCAGGTGCGGGTTGGATCTCCTGGGGCCAGGTTCCTGAGTAACCAAGTGTGTTCCTATGATGTGAGTAGGGTGGCAACAAGGTGACGTGGCAGGCATGGCAGGTGTGCAGTGCTGGCACCCGCCCAGCTACGCAGTGTGTGAGCTGCCCTGGTAACAGTTGCCCGATGGGGAGATAGGGAGTGTTGGGACAGCTTCCGGGTCGGTGTCATACTTCCCAGTGGGGAGCAGCCAGAAGGCTGTGCTTGCTGCGGGGCGGGGTGTGGTGGGCCGCCATGTACTTATTTCTGCTGTAGAGCCACAGTGATGGCCAAGCCCTGGGGCACGGGCCATAGAGTACAGCTGATGGAGGACAAGGCCACTGGAGAAGGGGTGGAGGTGCCGGGCCTGGGGCTGGGGGGCCTGAGCCCCTGGACCTCCGTGATGGTGGAGGGCCGCCGACACAGTGTGGATGAGGGTAGCACTGGCCTCAGGAGCAGGGCCCTGGGCTGAGGGAGGTGGATTGGGTTGGAAGTGGCCCTGAGCCGGGAGGAGCACCTCCCCACAAGCTCTCCCTGGTTAACTGCCCTATGGCTTTCAGGACGCCTTGTCCTTCTTTCCCTTGAAGGGAGGTGGGAGTGTTCAGAGCACCCCATAGCAGGGCCTCCAAGCCTGGCCAGCTGGGGCTGGAACTGGTTTCTGGGCTCACTCTCATCATTGGCCATGGCAGCTTCTGGAGGTGGCAAGCAGGGACTTAGCTGGTGACACTGCCCAGAGAGGCCAGGCGAATAGGCCTTGATCCAAAGGTTTGGTGGTAAGCTCTCCTTCAGCGTGGGGCATCCAAGAGTGGCAGGGCTGGTGGGTGGCATAGCACCCCTTTGAGGCACCCAGGATCTGAGGCCATGTGAGTCCTGTGCCCCTGGGCCTGACTGATGCCTGTCCAGCATCGGGTGCTCACAGCCAAAGGCCTGAGGGTGTGAGACCTGCGACAGAGGTCATTGTATTGTTTGAGCAAGGCTCCGTAAGTGGGGCCTTTGGGGTGGAGTTCCACTGAGGTGCAAGGCTAGTTGCTGTGTTTTGCAAACAGCAGTGGGCTGGAGCTCAGGGCAGGGCTGGAGCAGTCACGGCTGGCATGGCCCCAGACGACACCCTAGGCTGGGGGGTGGGCACCAGGCTCCGGCCCAGTCCTGTTCCTGGGTCTGCTCTGGTATACCACCACTCCTCAGCAGCTCCTACTGCCTGCTGGCCTGGGCCCGGCCTGGCCTGGCCTGTCAGCATGGTCGGGACCCTCTGGGGTCTGGCCACAGCTGCCTCCTGAGCCCAGCCCTGCTCTCCTCCGCCTGTGCAACCCTTCTGGGCACAGCTCGGCCTTTTTGGTAAGGCACCTCTGGGTTCCTGGCAGCCCCAGCCCAGCCCTCTGTGGGCAGCAGCACCGTGGCTGTGGCCTGTGCCCATGTGGCCTCCTGGTAGCCCCAAGGCTACCTTGGTTCTCCTGAGGCATCTCTGGAAGCATGGTCTGCGGATGGCAAACAGGAAAGAGCCCTTTACCTAAAGGAAAATGTGTGTCCAGGAAGGGCTTGGGAGGTGGTGGACTGGCCCTGGTGTGCCCACGTGGTGTATGTCCTCCCCAGGACATGGCATGCTGGTGTCTCCTAAGCCTGGGGGTGGGAAGCTTTGCAGAGATTCCTAGGGTTGGCGCAGTGACTGTGGCCTCTGCCATGGGACAGGTGCAGGAGAACTCCCCAGCCCAGCAGGCAGGCCTGGAGCCCTACTTGCTTCATCATCACCATTGGGCACTCGCGACTGGTGAGGCTCCATGACCCTGTCTCTGCCGTGCACATCCTGGCCTGGGGGAGGCCCCCCAACCAGGGCAGTGTGCTGTTAGTGGTGCCCCTGCTCCAGCTCCTGCCCTCCGTGGAGGCCCTGGAGTCAGTGTACTGTCCCCACAGAATAAGGAGAACGACACGCTGAAGGCCCTGCTGAAGGCCAATGTGGAAAAACCCGTGAAGCTTCAGGTGTTTAGCACCAAGAGCATGAAGGTGCGGGAGGTGGAGGTGGTGCCTAGCAACATGTGGGGTGGCCAGGGCCTGCTGGGCACCAGCTTGTGCTTCTGCAGCTTCTGCCGGGCCAGTGAGCACGTGTGGCGCATGCTGGTGAGTGTCTGGTCAAGGGGGTGGTGGGGAGGGGTTCGCCTTCATGACCAGTGCCCAGTCCCCTGCTGAGCACAGCTGGTCGTCCCTGAGGGCACCCTGCTACTTTCAGCATCAGGCTTGCTCACCTTCCTCCTCGGGCCCCTAGGCTGGGACATGGGACTTCGCCTGCTGCTGGGGCAGCTGCTGCTCTGGGTCTTCCCAGGGAAGCTTTGTCAGCTCCCAGCGGCATGTTCTTTCCGTAGGTGCTGGGATGGGACTAGTGAGTCTTGGGGAGGGGGCTGTCCCAGGCGCTGCTTCAGTTTCTGTTCACACAATATGTACATCTGCTGACTGTGCCAGGCTCTGAGCTTGATCCTTCCAGCTTGGAGGACGAGGACAGGGTCCTGCTTGCTCCCCGGAAGGCAGCTCCCCTGCCCTCCTGGTCCAGTGGCAAGGCCTGGCTCGGCTCTCTCCCAGGATGTGGAGCCCTCCTCGCCTGCCTCCCTCGCTGGCCTGCGCCCCTACACAGACTATGTGGTTGGCTCAGACCAGATCCTCCAGGAGGTGAGGAATACGCAGTCTCCAAGCCTGGGTTGGGTGGAGAGGCCTCCTTTTTTGGACTTCCAGGTCTGGCGTGGGGGCAGGGCTCAGACACAGCGTGTTTGTCATAGTCCGAAGACTTCTTTTCGCTCATTGAGTCCCATGAGGGGAGGCTCTTGAAGCTGATGGTTTACAGCTCCGAGTCTGACTCCTGCTGGGAGGTGACTGTAACTCCCAACGCAGCCTGGGGTGGAGAGGGCAGGTACTCTGGGGTCTCAGGGCTGCAGGGTGGGCCTAGGTGGGGGCTGAGTGGGCCTGGCCAGTGGGTGTTCTGAGGCCGGTGGTTGGTCCAGGAGGCAGGCTTTCAGCCCCTTCCGTGCCATGGTGGGTTGGGTGGGGGTGGCAGAGGACAGGGAGGGCTGTGGGGCGACTCTGGACTGAATGTTTCTGCTTTTCGCAGTTTGGGGTGTGGTATTGGCTATGGATACCTGCACTGGATCCCAACTCAGCCCCCCAGCCACCACAAGAAGCCACCCAGACCAAATGCATTT